CATTCCTGAGCACTGAACCACCAATCAGCACCTGCCAAATACCCTAAGCCCCCGATTCCTAAGTCCCTAGGTCCCTAATCATAGGCCTTACATGGAACCACCAATCAGCGTGTGCTGAGCGCCCTAAGCCCTGTCCCCTCTCCTCCCCTTAAAGGGCACGGACCCTGGCCCTCGCTCTCGCTCTCTGGAAGCAGCTGGCAGTGATACTATTCTCTTCAATAAAGCCTGTGGCCTGGCATCCTGGTCTCCGGCCCACTCTATTTCATCTATTTTTTTTTAAATAAATATATTTTATTGATTTTTTTTTTTTTACAAAGGGGAAGGGAGAGGGATAGAGAGTTAGAAACGTTAATGAGAGAGAATCATCTATCAGCTGCCTCCTGCACAACCTCCACTGGGAATGTGCCCGCAACCAAGGTACATGCCCTTGACCGGAATTGAACCTGGTACCCTTCAGTCTGCAGGTGGACGCTCTATCCACTGAGCCAAACAGGTTTTCAGCTCTATTTCATCTTTTTTTTTTTTTTTAATATATTTTATTGATTTTTTAAAATATATTTTATTGATTTTTTTACAGAGAGGAAGAGAGAGAGATAGAGAGCTAGAAATGTCGATGAGAGAGAAACATCGACCAGCTGCCTCTTGCACACCTCCTACCGGGGATGTGCTCGCAACCAATGTACATGCTCTTGACCGGAATCGAACCTGGGACCTTTCAGTCCGCAGACCAACGCTCTACCACTGAGCCAAACCAGTTTCGGCTCAATCTATGCGCCTAGAATGTATGACCTTTGTGTTCCATAAATTTGTCATTGACATAGCAACAATAGCCAGAACCCACTTGGCTGGGGGTTTTGTGATTGCTTTTGAGAGGGCAGGGCAGGGTGAGGCTAACTCCTGACTCCATTTTGTACTGTGGGGCAGGGTGGAGCTGTTATGCCCAGACTTCGTGATCCCCAAGGACCACCAGGGAGCCGAGTCCGATGCAATAAACAAAAGAGCCTGTACCATGCTAGCAATGGGCTCCTCCCACTCATGCCGGCAGCATGGCGGAAGAGAGCGAATTTCTCCCGGTCCAGGGGTTTTGAGGGCTAGGGATAACTCCGCCCTTTGGGGCGGAGTTGGGAGCTCATCCTCGCCCTGCCCTGCCCTTTCAGAGCTATCCTCCATTTTGTGTAACTGGACCCTAGCCCTCATCCAACCAATCAGGGTCAGCCAAAGCAGTGACATCACCACCCCTATAAAACCCCTTGACCTGTTGAAGCCCGTCTTCTCTTCCGGCTTGGCGGAAGGCATAAGTGGGACAGAGCCCATGCTAGCATGGAATTCAGGCTTTCTGCAATTGCATTGGACTCGGCTCCCTGGTGGTTCTTGGGGATCACAAATCTGGGCGTAACACTTTCCAAGAGAGACAAGTCTTAGCTCTGGGCTCACTTCTCTGAATTCACTGAGAGCAAGGAAAGGAGATGGCTGGATAGGTGAAGGGTAGCACTCTCATGGACATCCAGTCCATCCCCGCTCGCCCCTCATTAGGGCTCCAGTATCTGAGGGTAGCAGAAAAAGCAGGCTCCTTTGAGGCCGTTCCACCCAACTGCCTTTCCTTCCTGGCCAGTCCCTGCCCCAGAGAAGTTCACTGGGCGTCTGGCCTGAGGGGGAGATAGGATTAAGCCCTGGGCTGGGAGCCAGCGGAGGAGATATGGGAGATTCCCTCGGGAGCTGTGCAGCTTTCCCTGAAGGCAAGGAAGGAACAGAGGCCGGAAGTGGGGGTTTGGGTGAGGGCACTGGTAAGGGTGGGGTGACCGGTATTGCATTGTGGGACTGGAGCTGGGCTTCCGGCCATTGACCGATTGGTGACAAGTGACCTCCAGCCTGGCGCCTTGGGGCTAGTCTGCTTGAGCCCCTACCCTTTGACTCAGGTTCCTGTGCCCGAGTCAGACCTCCAGGAAAACCCGGAGTGCAGGAGTCGGGGTGGGAAACCTGATCCTCCAGGGCTCCTTCCTGGGAGGCCAAGAGAGGGGGCAGGACTTTCCAAGGATCACAACTGGGATTTGGGGCAGAACAAGGACTGGAATTCGGGATTCCTGCCTCCAGTCCTGAGCTGTTCCCTCCAAATTCCAAAGAAGAGTCCGGAGATTACATACTGCTTCCCCAATGGTTTGGCCGGACGCTGGGCCAGAGCAGGGGCCTGCCTCCAAGTCACCTTCCCAGAGCTGTCTGCGCGCGCGCGCGCGCGCGCGCACACACACACACACACACACACACACACACACACACAACCTCCAGCTCTGAGGGCTTGGTTGAAGCTGCCAAACCCGATTTTCCCCGTTAGCTGCCTAGACTGGCTGGAGCAGGAAACCCTTCTCAAGGCATGGACCCCTCAGGCCACCGTCCTCCTCCCCCTCCTCCTCTACTCCCACACCCTGTCCTTCCCACACACCTGTGTCACCTCCACTTCCTCCTCGGCTTGCCTTCCACCTCTGCTCCCACTGCTCACAGGCGCTCAGAGGTGTGGCCCAGCGCTGGCCCTCTCTGTGCCTCGGTGTGTTTTTTTTTTTTTGTTTTTAATGCAGCTTTGTGTATGTGTGCGATGAAATACACAGGACATAAATTATACCATTTTAACCATGTTTTAAGTGTACAGTTCGATGACTTTAAGTACTAGTAGTATCTTGTGCAACCAACTCCAAACCCAAACTCTGTGCCCATTAAATAATAGCCCTCCATTCTTCCCTCCCCCTCAGCCCCCGCAGCCACCCTTTTAGTTGATGTCTATGCCTTTGACTACTCCAGTGGACCTCAGTTTTCTCATCTACAGACCCACTGTGGGGAGGTTCCCAAGAAAAGGGCGGTGTGAGGAGCAGTGGGCCACCTCTTAGTGGGTTGACGCAATGTTGGGGGCACAGCCTGGGGTGTGAGAAGGAAGCCCTGCTCTGTGGAATTCTGGAGGTTTGATCGTCAGGGTGCAAGGTCCAAGGGAAGGGAGTATAGTATGCCCTTCTGGTTTGGGGCGATCTCTCTGGGAGGCTGAAAGAGACAGAGACCAACATTCAGGACCAAGTCCCCCTGTTCCCAGGGTCCAGCGCCCTCCCCACAATTTAGTGCGGGGCCTTGTGTGATCTGTTTAGTGTCTGTCTCCCATGGAGCTGTGACTCCCGCCAGGAAGAACTCCCACTGTCTTACTCAGCTGCTTTATCTCCAGAACTTGGCACCCTCCCCTGGCACATAGCAGGCACTACTGACTGAGACAGAGTTTCAGATTGAAAAGCAGAAGCAGAGGCAGTCCAGGGGCTGGAGACCAGCCAGGTCAGCTCACCTAACCAAGGCCCCTGCTGCAACCTGCCACACAGCCCGAGCCTCGCCTCTGGCCTGGGAGCCAGCATCCTCAGCCTCTGGCAGGGTGGGAGACAGTGAGCCATATCCCAGTCATCCACGGGGTCACCTGGACTAGGGTGGTGGGTGCCCTCTGGCTGCTGTTGCCTCTGGAGTCTGGACTGGATGGGGAGGAGAGGTGGGAGCCTGCAGGGGGAAGGGCAGTGGAGGAGCCAGCATTGCAGCAGGAGCTAAAAATAGCCAGAAGAGATGATGTCATCGGGTTCCCACAGCTCAGCACCCCCTCACTCACACACATGCAGACTCACTCTCACAGACACAGATACACACAGACACAGTGGGGGCATGCATACACACACGCACACTCACACTTACACAGGGGAGGGAGGCTTCTGGGTCCCAGGGCTGCAGGGGCAGGGAAGTCTGGTGAGTGTGTCTGTATGCACGTGGTTCTGTCTGGGTTAGCATGAGTTTGATTGCATGTGTCTATATCCTTGTGTTTGAGTGCATGCATGCTTGTGTGTGTGTTCATTTGTGGGCATGTGGGTGTGTTGCATGTTGCATGTGACGAGGTCTCTGTGTCTTAGTGTCTGTGCATATATCTCTGTTTATGAGCATGAACTTGCAAGCATGTGTATTTGATACATTGTGCATCTGTGAGTCCACTTACATGTCTGCACAGATTGTGTCAGGTGTCTTTATATGTGCGGGCCCCCTCGTAAGCCTTGGTTACTAGCCCAGCCACCTTTTAGCTCTGATCAAGGTTCAGCACCCCCCCCCCCTCAATACCCTGTGGAATCTCACCCCCCACCCAATACTGTCTGGCCAAGATATATCAGGGAATTCTCTGTCCCTCCCCTCCTCTCAGGGTCCCATTCTCTGGCAGGCTTTGAAGTAGATGGACACAGACACAATTCATTTCCTCCCCACGGGCTTCCTGAACCCCAGGGGCCAGGCCAAAGGTCTCAACCCTCAGGGACGGGAGCCCTGGAACTGGAGCCAGATTTGGGGACCTTGAGACACACACTAGCCCATGCATAGAGTGACACGTTAGAGACATGGCCCCTCAATGTTTCCCATCACTGAGACACAATGCTATGGAGACACATCCCGCAGAAACCCAGTTACACCAGTGGCACACGGGCGCGCACTCAGAGATCCAAATGGAAAATCCCCAGGCCAGAACGCTTAGCACCCTCCCTCTTTCTGGACTCAAGCTGTCTTGCCCCACCCCCAGAGGCCTGGCTCAGCTGTTTTCCTGTCCTGGAAAATACCGACCTCAGAGAGGGATGGGGCTGAAGGTGGTACACCCTCTCTGAAGCAACCATTTCCTGGTTCAGGCTGCCCCCTCCCCCTTTTGACCTTCATTCCTCTCAGCAGAGCAGATGCCTCTCTCTGGTACACCCATACCCTCACAAACACACCTTACCACTCACAGCCGGCCACAGAGGCACATTCGCTTGCAAAGGGGTGCTCCGTCACATGTCCACTTATACTCCCATTGTTCTGCTCTCACACACGCTCTCAGACACACACACACCAGCAGCTACACCTACACACTGGCCATCCCAGGCGCACAGAGCCACATACACCGCACTGAGTCATTCACAGGGTTACATGCAAGCAGTGAAACCTCTTTCCTCCTACCCTCTTCTGATCTGTGCCTCTATCTTCCTCCCCAAGGACCTGGCTCCCTGTAGGTCCCAAGTTGTCTATGGAGACCCCGTTCCCTGGGCAGATGGGAGTGCGAGGCAGGAAGGCGCTTGCCTCTTAGGGTATATCAAAAGCTGAAGCCAAAGATGGGGAGTTGGTGCGTGTGGCTGACCTTGTCCTGTCCTTCCATTGTCTGTGATCCCTGCTGCTGTTACGGAAGCCTGTCCCAGCCCTCACACTCTGCAGTCAGCTGCAAATACCTCAGAGTGGAGTAGGCAGAAATGATTGTATTTGGCTTGCCATTCACCACCCACGGCCCCCAGAAGATACAGGTCCGGAGCCAGCCAAGCTTCTGGACTAGTTTCTGGGCATTTCTAGAGGATCAGAAAGCTGCCAGGTTGACAGAGGCGTCTGAGAACTGAGGAGAGGAAGAAGAGGGAAGAGCGTGAGGAAGGCAGCAAGCAGTCCTGGAAGCTCCATTGCTCTTAGATTCACCCACTTCCCCGAGCTCTCCACTTCCAGCCAAAATGCCTTCCATGAAGGCTCTCTGCCTTTTAGGGAGACCGCCATCAAGACCCCTCCATGCCTTTGGGGTGATATTTCACAGAGCATGTGCCCCCGGAGTGCCTACGCAGGGCTAAGGTGGGGGACCCTGTTTTTCCAACCCCGAATCCTGGCTCGGGGCCCTTGGCTAACCTTGCAGTGGAAGGATCCACACATTGGTGGTGACATTGTGGGTGTTGTTGATATCTCTGGCCATGGTGGTAAGATTGGTGGCTGCAGTGGTGGCAGTTGGGCCTTGGGGTTTCTGCCGGTACCTTCTGCGGCTACACTTGAACATCTTGGGAAACCTGGGCCGAGGCCAGCCCATACCTGGCCTGCGGTAAGGGGAACGTAAGCCCTGGGGCCGAGGGGCACGGACAAGCTGAGAAGGCCCCATGGGCACAGAAAGCTTCTGTAAGTGTGCCCGCGGGTGCTGCCGGCCAGGGCAGCTCAGGTCTTTATGACATACAGCGTGGGTGGGGCTCTTTATTACAGGTCCTGGTCCCCGGCCCCTCCCATAGGTCAGGTTCTCTCCATGAGTCAGAAAACCTCAGCTCGGCCCCTTGGGGAAGAAGGAACTCCGAGGAGGGGGAAATTCCTTCTTTATTTTCTCACTCATCCACATTAACAATACTAACAATTTTTTTTAATATGTGATTTTCTTTTTTAAAAAAATATATTTTATTGATTTTTTACCGAGGGGAAGGAAGAGGGATAGAGAGTTAGAAACATTGATAAGAGAAAATCATCAATCAGCTGCCTCTTGCATACCCCCTACTGGGGATGTGCCTGCAACCAAGTCCCTTGACTGGAATCGAACCTGGGACCTTTCAGTCCGCAGGCCGCTGCTCTATCCACTAAGCCAAACCGGTTTCGGCAATATTAACAATTTTATTGAGCACTTACTATGTGCCAAATATGATACCAAGTACCTTACAAAAATAGCCCATGTAATACTACAGCAACCCTACAAGGAACTTCTGTAATCATTCCCATTTCATAACATATGACTCTTGTTATTAATGGTAGTGATGTTCTAACAAAGCTACCACCATGAACACTGAATTAGCAAATATTGAACCAATGCACCTAGGAGAAGTACAGGCTTAGATTCCTACCAGGTCATAGCATTTTCATCAATTGATCAGTACATCGCCTAGTTTTACATGTTTCTGTAGACACCTAATTTAAAATTTTATGTTGACTCATTAACATTGAACTCATAGCCAATAGCACTATAACTCATACCTGAATGAAGTTCATATAACACACGTGTGTCCTTTGGAAGGCACAGCACAACCTTCTTGTGCGTAGCAATATTATATAGCACTTCAGCATGACTTTGGGGGCCATTTAAACCAACAAAAAGCCCCCAGATGCAAAAAAACATGACACTAAAAAGACCACATTGCATTACCTTATAATAGCTGAAATGAGAAGGCAGAGTGTTCACCTGTTCAACCTCAGCAAGTTGGGCAACTCAAATTTTTTGCAGCTGCACACATGTCTATGAATAACATCAAAAGTACCATGAATGTTGGTTTGGGGTTACAAATAAATGTTAATGAAGAGGTAAATTCACAATATGCAGTCTGTGAATGATGAAGGTTGATCGTATTGTATAAGGAAATTGAGGTTCAGGTGAAGTCACACAATCAGGGTCAGGCAGGGTTCAGATCCATCATGGCCGAGGTCCAAAGCCCTGACATTTAACTCCTGGTCTTCTGTGCTCATTCAGTCATTCATGCAATGTTCACTGACAAATTCCCATGTGCAGGACGTTGGGGACATGGATTCATGTGACCTGGTTCCAGTTCTTCCCGACACAAAAGAGAAAGCCATGTGGACAATCAGTGCAGGCAGAGAAATGGCTAAGGTCCCCGGGGGATGTAAGAGGTTCCAACACTGGGTTTATCTCCCTTCTTGTGGGAGACAGAAACGTCAATGGCTCTGCTGGGCGTTGCACTGAGTTCTCTTGGAACTTTGGGCTTGCTCCTTTCCCTCTACATCTTAGCCCTCTCTTCCTTTCCCCGTATTCCACCTGTACAGGCCCCTTCCCCACCTCCACATTGTCTCTTTTCCCTCAGGAGTCAGCTAGGAGACTCCACACCACACTCAAAGTCCCTACACCTCCTGCCCTTCCAGCTTCCATTCTTGCCATCCTCCATCTTAGCAACCGACCCAAACCCCATCAACTTCTAGTTACTATCCCTATAAACCCACCTGCCCCATAAACCCATGTTCTTACTCAAGACCCAGACCAAGGCCTCATTCCCTGTTCTTTCTGGAAGGCAGTCTTTCCGGCCCTTTTCAAGATTCCATCAATGTAGACAAGACATAGACTCTGGCACCAGACTGACTGGGCTGAATGAATACTGGCTCTGCCGCTTATAAGCTGAGTGAGAATGGCAAGAACTTGACCTTTTTGTGCCTCTGTCTCCCCGCATTTAAAAAGGGGACAAGAGCCCTGGCTGGTTTGGCTCCGTGGAGAGTGTCGGACCTCAAACAGAGGGGTCCCGATTTGATTCAGGTCAAGGGCATGTACTTCTAGGCTCGATGTGTCTCTCTCTCACATTGATGTTTCTGTCTCTCCCACTCCCATCCACTTTCTCTGGAAATCAATGGAAAAATATCCTCAGGTAAGGATTAAAAATAAAAAGGAGATAAGAGAATCTATCTCCTAGGAGTGCTGTGAACGAAAAATGACTTACTATATATGTATTGCATTTAAAACATGATCCGTACAAATATTGTGTTGTCAGTTTCCTCTCTCTTGTCTCGTCAGCTGCCTCCTCCCATTACACAAACAAAACCAATTTTAAAAAAAATATATATATATTTTATTGATTTTTGTACAGAGAGGAAGGGAGAGAGATAGAGAGCTAGAAACATCGATGAGAGAGAGTCATCGATCAGCTGCCTCTTGCACATCCCCTACTGGGGATATGCCCGCAACCAAGGTACATGCCCTTGACCGGAACCCGGGTCCCTTCAGTCCCCAAGCCGAGGCTCTATCCATTGAGCCAAACTGGTTTCGGCGACAAAACCAATTTTAAAACCCACTTTGTCCATGCCATACCCGCTCTGGCTGGGACTGTCCCCACAGGGGCCTCTTTACACTAAGGTTACTTATGCCCCAGATTGGGGAGAAAATCTCTTTTTAAAGTATTGTAACAATTCTGTTATACCACTTAGACATTAAAACTAAGTCTGAGAAATGCCCCCCTAGGGTCACACAGCTGAGCACCTGGTCTGAGGACTGTCCCAGCACCTCCACCAGGAATGTTGGAATAGGAAGTGGGAGGGCAGCCTGGATGGCTTAGTGAAGGTGGTGGGCATGCCAGGGCCTTCCAGCGGGGCAGCGATGCTTTCATGAGACCATGGTGCCACCTGCTGGTAGAAAGGGAAGGGGTTGCTGTACACAGCGTGCTAAGGGGAAAAGGGAAGTTGGGGAGAGAAAAGGGTGGGGAGGAAGAAGAGTGAGGAGGAGAGATGAAGGGAGGAAGAAAATAGGAATTTGACCTATATGAAAGGAAAAGGACTAGAAGCTTTTTTTTTCTTCTTTTTTTAAAATATATTTTATTGATTTTTCACAGAGAGGAAGGGAGAAACATTCAGTCAGAAACACTGATGAGAGAGAAACATCGATCAGCTGCCTCTTGCACACACCCCCACCGGGGATGTGCCCGCAACCAAGGTACATGCCCTTGACCAGAATCAAAACCGGGACCCGCCAAGACCGGTTTCGCTCAATGGATAGAGCGTCAGCTGGGGACTGAAGGGTCCCGGGTTCGATTCCGGTCAAGGGCAAGTACCTTGGTTGCGGGCACATCTCCAGTAGGGGGTGTGCAAGAGACAGCTGATCGATGACTCTCTCTCATCGATGTTTCTAACTCTCTATCTCTCTCCCTTCCCTCTCTGTACAAAATCAATAAAAATATATTTAAAAAACAAACAAAACAAAAAAAACCAGGACCCTTCAGTGCGCAGGCCGAAGCTCTATCCACTAAGCCAAACCGGTTTCGGCAGGACTAGAAGCTTTTTGTTATTCAAAGGAGGGAGCAGAAGCTGCCAAACCTTGGTCACTGCCTTGAAACACACACACTGCGTGTGTGTGTGTGTGTGTGTGTGTGTGTGTGTGTGTGTACTCATGAGCACCAGTAGGTGTTTTTATTTGTGTGTGAATATATAGATGGCAACTTGGGTAGATGTGTATGCCTGTGAGCACAGCATGTAGGGTGTATATGAATGTATCTGTAGATACAGGATAAGAAATATAGGCGCACTGTGGTGGGGTGGGGGGCACTCAGAAGGTCTGGGGCCCCGCCTACCCCCCGATTTCTCTCCCTTCTCAGATCAGGAAGGGTATTGCCCGTGCTTGGTACTGGCAGGGGGAGGCCCACTGCTCTTGCGGCTGTGGGGTCGGATCTCCGGACAGCAGGGGGCAGCAGGGGCGAGAGAAGGCCTAAAGGCTGGGGTGGAGCGGGCGGGCAGGCAGGCGGGCAGAAGGAAGCCTTTAAAACACCTGCCCCGCCTGCAGGTGAGCAGTGGCGTGTGAGAGCCAGCTCCGTGTCTGCCCACTCGGTGGCCGTTCCCTGGAGCTGTCTGTCCTCGCTGGAGCCTCAGCAGATCCTTCTTTCAGAAGTCACTCCCAGGAGTCCTGAACAGGTGGGTGATGGCTAGGGCAGAGATTATCTCATGAAGGGAGCTCAATCTGAAAGCAGGTTCGGGGAGCTGGAAGGACCGTGGGGAGGACCCTGGAGGAGTCTACTCTGTGTTTGGGGAGGGGTCACGAATATATAGGTGCCAGGGAAGGGCATGGAGTGACCTACGGTGCGGAAATTGGGTTTGGGTGCAGGCGAGTGTTAGGATTTGAGTGCCCTGTGTCGGTTGAGGGTCTGGGCCGTACAGAGAGGTAGGAGTGTCCGGATGGGAACTGGAAAAAGTCCTGAGGTGTCCGAGTCCAGGTACAGGGGAAGCTTGGTCATATATGGGTTCTGGAGTCTGGAGTCTGATTTGTCAGGGTTCAATGTTAGGGCCAGGGCCAGCCCGGGGGCTGCAGGGGGAGGTTCTAACGCATACATGTCTGCCTCGCAGGAGTCACCATGCAGTGCTACAGCTTCATTAAGAGCATGATGATCTTATTCAATTTTCTCATCTTCGTAAGTATGGGGGTTGTGAGCTCTTTGGGGGTTCCCTACAGGAGTGGGTCACAACCTGAGCAGAGCTCAGGCTGGGGAATCGGAGCCATTGTGCCCAGGGACTCCTGCCAGTTTCCCCTCACGATGCAGAGGCCTCCCCAAATGCGGAGTTCACTCAGCAGTCTGGATGACACATAGGTTGGAGTAGAGAAACTTGGGGATCCCCCTCCCTCCCTTCCAGGAAGCTTTAGCCCAGACGTAGGGCAGGGCGGGTGAATGGGAACAATTCTCCCCTTTTTCATAGCATTGAGGCCTAGAAGGGGGAAGGGGTTTGCCCTAAGTCACCTGCCGCAGGAGGAAATGTGGGGGCCTCGGCATGACGAGGAGCTAAAAGAAGAGAAGACCCAGACCCTCTCAGCAGGTCTGTCTGTTCATTAAACACACATTTATAGCCAAAGATTCGGCACTGAATGCTGGGGTAACAGGTGAGCAAGCTCTTTGTCTGCCCTGGAGGACCTCCGTTCCAGCAGGCCGGAGAGGTAGACAGTTACAGCTTAGTGTTTCTGGCGTTAGCACAGCGGCTCAGGGAGACCACAGGAGCGGGGTGAACTCCCCTGGTCAGAAAGGACTTCCTGGAGAAAACTTCCTGGGGATTTGGCCGTGTGCGGGAACCGTAAAGCAGCAGAAAGGCCCGGAGGTGGTGAAATCAGACGGTGCTCGGGAGACCGGGAACAGGTTATGTGGGGCATGTTTGAGGAAGCTGAGCAGTGAGCCATTAACCCTGGCGGTGGAGAGGGGGAGAAAGGTACAACGCAGACGAAGGAGAAAGCCTCAATAAACTGTGCCTCTGTGGATGAGGACCACGGAGGGTGGGGAAAGGGCGGAGGGTGGGGTGGGAACCTGGTGGAGGGGGGGGGGGGGAATGAGGAACTTTTGTAATACTATGAACAATAAAGATTGATTTAAAAAAAAGAGAGAGAGAGAGAGAGAGAGAGAGAGAGAGAGCCTCAGATGGTGGCTGAGGGGTGCAAGAGGAGGCAAGGGAGACGGAGGTCCTGGAGAGGATGCCGTGGTCGTGGCTTGAGCAGCCGAGGGGTAGACCACGGGCAGCTCAGCGCTGCGGCTCAGGTGGGAACCGGACATGGATAGTGAACGTCAGGTGCCTGTCGGTGGTCACGGGAGCCGCTCCGTGAGCGAGAGAGCACTCAGGGAGGGCGAACCCCAAGAAGCCCAGCTGCTGAGGAATAGGTGGGGAAATGGTCACCAGGAAGCAGGGGAGGAAAACAAGGAGGGCGCGATAGAGAGGCCAGGAAGGATACTGCGTCTGGCGCCTCCCAGACTCAGAGTAGATGTCACGGGAGACCTGGGAGCCACGTTAGAGCGGGTCAGAGTGAGGAAGAGGGGAGGAAGGGGAGACACGGAGAGCAGATGAATTTAGAGAAATTGGTCCGGGGTAAGTAAGACACTCTGACTCCAGTGCCGGCTGTGTCTCCGGCTCCCTTTGGCTTTGGAGAACCAGCTGTTACTCATGTAGGTAAAGTAGACAACAGGATCCCATCCATTTGGACAGGAGACTCTGGCCGGAGGGGGTTAAAGGCAAATCCGGTTTGGTTTCTGGCCTCTGTTGCCCAGGCTTTGCCAGGCTGGGCAGGGCAGGGCAGGCCTCAGACTCCTTGAAATTTGACCCTGCAGGCTGAAAGTCCAGCTTTTTGTCCTTGGGCAAACATGCCTGGAATCCAGCCATGGTCTGCCACTTCACCCCTGGTTCCAGTCTCAGTGCCTATAGCTGCAAAGAGGGGACTGGGCACCGAGGCTGTGGGATCCCGAAGGCTTTGCTTTAAGAGCTCTGGGACCTGGGCAGAGCCCTCCTCCCCACTCTGGGCCTCAGGATTCCCTCTGAGGTGTGGAGCGGAGCGAGGGAGCCTCCATGCGCTCTGACCGTACTCCCCCTGTCTCTACGACTGGATAAAGGACAGGCCTGGAGTCGAACCTTGGGAGGGAGCCAAATGGGGCCCCAGGGTAGGTGTCCCTTCTCACCACCTTCCTCTCCAAGGTTGGGAGTTAGGTGTAAACCTCAACCCCGCCTTCGTTACCGTGGTCACCGTGGAGCCTGCTCCATGCTACCACCCCCCCCGGTCTCCGCCTATCAGAGGACGGAGGTGCTCCAGGCACCCACAGCCGGGGGAAGAGAAAGGGTGGGGTGGGTGCTCACGGGCTTGTTTTCACACTGAGGCATGTGGCAGGACCCTGGCATCGGTGAGGGAAAGTCTGGGCAGCCCCTGTCCCCTTCCCCTCCACAGGGATATTTTATTTTATTTTATTTATTTATTTTTTTAAATATATTTTATTGATTTTGTACAGAGAGGAAGGGAGAGAGATAGAGAGTTAGAAACATCGATGAGAGAGAGTCATCGACCAGCTGCCTCTTGCACAACCCCTACTGGGGATATGCCCGCAACCAAGGTACATGCCCTTGACCGGAATCGAACCCGGGACCTTTCAGTCCCCAAGCCGACGCTCTATCCATTGAGCCAAACCGGTTTCGGCCACAGGGATATTTTAGGAACCTCTGATCCATTTATATCTGCCCAGGGGTGCAGCCTGGTGCTGGCTGTGGCATCCCAGCTCCCATCCTTCTGGCTTTGCAGGATGTTTTCCTCCCTACGGGATGACATTTTTAGACTTCTTAGCCAAGAAGAGGGGAAATTTCTCATCTCCCACTTTCCCGGTTCACCTGTGTGGCAGGGAACTGTGCTGCCAGCACTGCCCAAGGTCTGCTTCTCTGTCCCCAGCTGTGCGGTGTGGCGCTGCTGGCGGTGGGGATCTGGGTGTCCGTCGACGGGCCGTCCTTCCTGAAGATCTTCGGGCCGCTGTCGTCCAGCGCCATGCAGTTTGTCAACGTGGGCTACTTCCTCATCGCAGCCGGCGCCCTGCTCTTCGCTCTCGGCTTCCTGGGCTGCTACGGCGCCCACACCGAGAACAAGTGTGCCCTCATGATGGTGTGTCCAGCCCGCTCCCCAGGCCCATAGCCAAGGCTGGGGGCCCCCTCGCCTTTGACACCAGGCCCTGGGGCTCCCCAAACCCTCATCTGGACTCCCAAGGGCCTCAGCGAAGGGGCCCCTGCCTCCTTTTTATGGGGGGAGAGGGAGGTTAGGGCAAGGAATTCATGAGGGTCTGCCTCTCCCTAAAACGCAGACCCCTGTTTCCTATTCAGTTCTTCCTCATCCTCCTCGTCATCTTCATTGCCGAGGTCGCAGCTGCTGTGGTCGCCTTGGTGTACACCTCAGTGGTGAGGACTGAGGATGGGGCGGGGGAGTGAGACCGGGCAAAGCCCGGGAAGTGGGCTGTGGCCTGTGAGCGGCCACCGTGCCTATCAGGCGCTAACCACTGGCCCGCTCTCCCCAGGCGGAGCACTTCCTGACGTTGCTGGCAGTGCAGACCATCAAGAAGGACTACGGTTCCCAGAAAGACTTCACACAAGTGTGGAACAGCACCATGGAAGGGGTAAGGTGGGCTGGCGGGGTTCGGGAGTGGGGAGAAAGAGGCAAGGCCCTTGCCAAAATCGGTTTGGCTCAGTGGATAGAGCATTGGCCTGCGGACTGAAAGGTCTCGGGTTCGATTCCGATCAAGGGCATGTACCTTGGTTGTGGGCACATCCCTAGTGAGTGTGTGTGTGTGTGTGTGTGCAAGAGGCAGCTGATCGATGATTCTCTCTCATCGATGTTTGTAACTTTCCCTCTCTCTTCCCCTCTGTAAAAAAAATCAATAAAAAATATATATATTATAAAAAAAAAAAAAGAAAGAAAAAAGAGAGGCAAGGCCCCCATGATCACCCTCCCCTCCTTGTCTCCAGCTCAAGTGCTGTGGCTTCAACAACTACACGGATTTCGAGGACTCTCCCTTCTACACAGAGCACAACGCCTTCCCCCCATACTGCTGCTCTAATGGCGCCAACAGCACGGACCCCTGCACCAAGAGGAGGGCCGAGGACAGTCCCGTACAGGTGAGGGCTGGCGTGGAAGTCTGGGGCCGCACCCAGGGCCGCGGAGTGCTGGAAGCGGGGGGAGGGGTGGGGAGAGGCAGGAGCTGACTGTAGATGCTCTCTCCCCTTCTCCAAGGGTTGCTTCGATCAGCTTCTGAGTGACATCCGAACCAACGCAGTCACCGTGGGTGGCGTAGCGGCCGGAATAGGAGGCTTGGAGGTAAGAGGGTGAGGGAGGTCAGAGCAGGAGGTCCCCATCCCTGAGGCCTCTCTGGAGGACACAGACTTCTGACAGTTTCGTGGGGGGAGTTTGGGGGGCTGGGGACCAAAGCTTAAGGACCCTGACCATGTTGCCTCATCTCTCCCTATTCCTTCCCCACCAGCTGGCTGCCATGATTGTGTCCATGTATCTGTACTGCAATTTGAAATAAGTCCGCCTCTGCCTCCGCCACTGCTCCTGCCACACCCAAGGCCATGATCAGGGCGGCGACAGGACCTAACAGTGCCATGGGGGCCACAGGGAGGCCGCGCAGGGACCACCCCTTCAGACTCTGTCTTCCATTGATGGGGTTGGGGCCCACCTGTTCCAGAGCCAGTTCTAGGGTAGCCAGTCCTCCTGCCGTTCCTCACAGTCTGTCTCTCAAACCCTGGATACCCCTTCCTGAAGGCCAACAGGAGCTCTTGGTGACCCCAGGACTCCCCTGGGGAACAAGGCCCCCTATCTCCTGAGCACATGCAAAATTAGCAGTGACCCGGCGGATGTGTAGAAGGCACCTCGGAATTCACAAACCAATTAAATTGTTTCCATCGGGACTCTTTCCATGTGTATCATTGGGGAGAGGGAGTCATCTTGCCTAAACTGGTCTCAGATTCCTGTGGGGCTAGAGACACAGACGGCCCCTGGAAAGGTAGCAGAAGAGGAGTGGAGGTGGGTGGCTATTTTTCCTCTCCTCGTGAATTCCAGGCCTGGGAGGGAGCATAAGAGCGATGGCCGAGAGGGCGCCGAGGGAGAACGTGGGGGCTGGGTCAGCCTGCCTATAATGTGGGAGGACTTTGGACTGAAACTACTCAGACCTGAGAAGGGGCACTGAACCGGAAAGCAATGAAAATAACAAGCTTATGCCCAAGTGCGGGCGGGGGACATAAAAAATATTGCCAGGGCAATGGGAGGGCGTCACTCCTTAGACTCCGAGAAGCTCCCTGGAGCCTCATGGGAGGATCCAAGCTGCCTAGACTTCCCAACCAGGCAAAGCCCCACACGGTCCCTGCTTTGGGGACTTCAGAGAGAACATGTATTCTTGGTCCTGGCCTGCATGGTGCTCTTCAGATCTGATCTCCGTTTTGTCCTAACCACCCCCATCTTCAAGAAACTGGGCCTAGAAAGGCCATGTGACCAGTTCCAGGCCCACACTATCTGACATGGCGGCAGATTTACCCGAAGGCCAGAACCCCCACAGGGATCTGATTGCTGCTGAACTGGAAGCACTAAGGAGGCAGCTATGGCTGGAGAACACGGTGTCTGCTACCAAGCAAAGCCCAGCCTGGCTAACCAGTCCTCCTCTTGCTTCCCTTTGACCCCTGGGTCCCTCCTCCCAGGTTTTTCTAAGGGAGCCAGAAACTGTTCCTGGGCCCAGAGAGGAAGTGACCTGAGCAGAGCCATACAGTGCCTCAGAGCTAGTTTGAGGCCAAAATTAGGACCCTGCTGGGGGGTGGGCAGGGAGAGCAATGAGCCCCCTTCCCCACCTTACTAAGCTTTGCACACACAACTCCTGAGATGGGTGAAGGCTCTCTTGATGGTGGGAACTACCAGTAACAACAAGAAGTGCTCAGCTTGGGTGGGGCAGGCCAGTGCTTAGGGCCTGACAGGGAAGGCTGATGATTTGTTTGCCCAGGGTGGGCCTCCGCCTCACAGAGAGCTAATTGCTCCTCAATCTGACTGTTGTGGCACCTCACACACTATCTCTAGCTACGGCAAACACTGAAGTCAGCAGGGTGGCAAGAACCGTCCTACCCACACACCACCCGTGCCATCGCCGACCTGAGCGCCAGGCACCGGCGGGGGAGGCAGGGGCAGAGCTGGCGAAAGGGCGGGAACTCCTGCCTTCCTGGCCAGGGCCCTACAGCTGCTCACCAGACTCGCCTCACACGGGCTCTGCAGGCAGACCGTTCCTCAGGGAGTGTTCTGTACTCACTCCCCTGATCCTGTCCTTCACAGCTCCCTTCAATGTCAAACTTCTCCTGCTTGGGTATCGCATCCATTCCCTGCGGACAACTCCATTCATTTTCTGGTACCTTCACGACTTAGAGTTTCTTAACCTCTCTGGGTCACTGACTGGGTGCGAGTCTGATGAAAACAACTGGGTGAGAGTCTTCAGAAAAAAAATGCCCAGCTATGAAAGCTGCATACAGTGCCCAATGGCCATAGAAATCCTTGCTCCTGTGTCTCCATCTGCCGCGCAGTCCGAGCCTCCTGAGTGATGCCCAACCCGGTTTCTGTCTCACCCACTTTCTTCCCGCCCACGCCTCACTCTACTCACATGTGCTCCCATCGCCTCCCCACACCTAAATATCTCCTTTTGTTCTCTTTTGCTCCGTATCAGGGGACAAGTGCCTGGCCCCGACAAGCCAGGCAGGAAACAGGTTGGTGGTTAAACAGAGGGAACAGGGTGTGCGGTGGCTACTCCACGCTCAGCCCAACAGGTCAGGTCTAGGGTGGAGCCTAGGGAAACACCCTGAAGTTTAAGACTTGGGCATCCCCTGGTGGCCAAATGGCCCCAAACGGAAGATAAACCCTAAGGGGGGCAGTAAGGAAAACTCACCATCCATCAGGACCCCCCCCCCTTCTCTCTCTCTCACACACACACACACACACACACACACACACACAATCAAGAGACACATCCGTCCATAGAGATTTTCTCATTTTTTAATCAATGACCATCTTATCCAGCTTTGGAAACCTGGACAAAGATGAGGCTGAGAAGAGGAGGCCTGGGTCAGGGTGAGGGTCTCTGAGTGTCTGCATCAGCGGGCAGCCCCTGCTGGCTCTGTCTGGGAGCTGGGCTCAGCAGTTTCCTGAGAGCCAGCCACACCCTCAGGGCAGCACCCCAGTCCATAAAAGAATCCAGGTCCTTCCGGCTTCACCCAGTTTCGAAGGCCCTCAGGACAGTAAATAAATAGGTTAAATTCTGAGCCAGGCCTGGGAGGAGGGAGTATAAAAGGGCAGGATCAGCTGCTCGGGGGGGATCCCAGCCACTGTCCTGCCCTTTCCCAACAAGGAAGTAAATAAATAGACCTCCAACTCAGACACAGGGGCGCTGGGACAGGGGAATCCTCCCCTTGAAGTTAGTGATTAAGTCTCATGTTAAAAACAAGCCAGCCCCAACCCCTGCCAGTGTCTACAAAATCCTACATGATGGGGTGAAGGGCGAGCCTGCCTGGGGGTACACAGTACCCAGCCCTGCAGGGTCCTGGAGGAGGTGTCATGTCTGTTCTGCAGCGCCTGGGGCTCCCTCCTCCTTTGGGGGCGGCTCCAGGAAGATTGGGGTGATTGACGGTGGCTTCTTCACCCTGGGGAGGTAACAGGAAAGAGGTCATGAGCTGTGTCCCACCCAGCCAGTCTCCCACCTCCGAGGGCAGGAACGAGGCACTCACGAGTAAGGGGAGGCTGGGACCCCCACGACCAGAAAGTGGTTCTTCTTCCGAAACAGCCTCCACAGGCCCCGGTGGTTCCCACGCACATCCAGGTCCCAGATACGGAGGCACTGTGGGGGGCGGGGACAGGGCGGGGCCTGGGTCCGGGCGCTGCGGGGAGGGGCCGCTGGGCACCCAAGGCCCAGCCCCTATCCCTCCTCAGCAGCCTCTTCAACTTGCAAAGGATAGCATCTTTTCTTTTTCTTTTTACAATCTCTCAAAAAATTAATTTTTTCCCACCTTCTAACAAGAGGGAGCATCTTTTAAAATATAACCGTATTTTTCGGACCATAAGACGCACTTTCCCCCCCCAGAAGTGGGGGAAAAAGTCCCTGCGTCTTATGGTCCAAATATAGCCTACACATATACTTTAAAAAAAAGTTTTTTTACTTGCCCGGCTCTGTGTGGTCTCTGTGTGCTTGCCCGGCTCTAAAATGGTTCTAAATGCTGCTGTTTATTTTACAGGGTTGATTACATGTGTTTATGACTGTGATGTTGGGTTTTAATGCACATAAAATATTTTAGGGCACTATTTGTTTCAGAATCTTTTTTTCTTCATTTCCCTTCTCTAAAAACTGGTGCGTCTTATGGTCCGGAGCGTCTTATGGTCCGAAAAATACGGTAAATCCGGACAAGGGGGTTGAAAGATGGGTCTGAAAGTGCAATGGAAAGGTTCTAAGGTGAAAGGCTCCCTGTGTCCTGGGGGGAGAGGGGTTGTAGGGCAGGTGTGGTGTAGGGGCACCTTGGCAAGCTGAGTCCAGGTGGTGAAGTCATCGTCTTTCTCCATTCGGATAAAGGCCACGTAGGTGTGGCCCTCGGTGTCCGGCAGGAAAGAGTCTTCACACGGGTTCTTGCTGTGGTCCAACACCTCGGCTTCACTGCAGCGGGGGCGGGCGGAGTAAGGCCCTCAGTCATGAGTGTATCACACAAGGCCCCTTGCTCAGTTGTTGCCCTCTTGACCTTCTTATTTTGAACAAGGAGCCCTGATTTTCATTTTGCAGTAGGCCCCACAAATGACGAGGCCTAGACCCAAGTATCTGACTCCTCCTCAATCCCTGCCACATACCCCTCATGCCCCAGGCCATACCTAAGCAGCCGGTGGACTTCCACTTCATAAGCGTCCTTCTTCAGACTAAAGGAGAGGGAGACATGGTTCAAGGGAGAGAGTAGCCCCCTGTTCCCAGGAGCAGGGCTGGGGTTCACATGGGAACTGGGGGACAGCAGGCTGGGATAAACACACAGGCCTCAGGGTTGGAAGGGACGGTCAAAATAACAGTCATCAAGACTCCCAGATATCCTACTCCTTGCCCTGTCCCCAGCCCCTACCTGTCCACGTTCCTGAGCTGGACGCCTGGCACCGTGTTGAATTTGTGCTTCTTGAAGTAGGCCTCCTGGAGGGGGCGTGAAGGTGCAAATCAGAGCCTTCCATTGTCTGGCCCACACGTGCCCACTGACCCACTCCGTACCCACAGGCCCACAAAGTCAGTCCTGGACCTGTGAAGGTCCCTCTAGTTTCCTTGTCTTCCTGTCCTCTTCGCAATACCCTTGGCGGGTCCTCATTGTCTTTAATGTGGACTTAAGCATCGCCAGAGAGCTCATTTCCACACCAGCAGCTCATGCCACTGACCCTGAGCTAGTCCTGTCCCCGGCGGTTCTCCCTGGGCCAGCTGTTCTGGATCCACAGAAGCCAGGAACAGGTCCTGCAGGGGGCAGTGGGCAAGGGGGCGGGCTGGGCTGGGAGAGGAAGCTCCTGTGACTGAGGTGCTGAGCTAAATGCCTGCCCCGCGTGGGGAGATGAGTGGGGGTTTTATATTAGCTGGTCTCTGAGGGCCGTTCTGGCTTCTGGGAGGTTTCAAGCTGGAAGCTGTCCATTCCTTCAGGCGGGACTGTCTCAAGGCCTCCCTTGCTATAACGGAGGAGTGGCCCTTTGGACACAGCCATACAGCGGGTAGAGACCCGGGGACCTCCCTGTTCAGGCCGCAGAACCTCCAAGGACGGGAGAGGGCAGAACTTGCAGGGCTGGATATGTGCCTGGCAGCAGAAATACGCTCCCCGCACCCACAGCCTCGCGCTAAGAACAGTAATGATAAAAACGATACCAGCTAACCCTTACATAATGCTGACAGCTCAACGCATTTTGCATATAGCAACTCATTTAAACCTCATAACCTCACAGCCCTACTAGGGAAACAGTATTTTAAAAATAAAAAAAAACTGAGGAAAAAGAGGAACAGCAGGCCCAACAGATTGGCTCAGTGGCTGAGCATTTACCCACGAACCAAGAGTTCATGGTTCGATTCTCAGTCAGGGCACATGCTGAGATTGCTGGTTTGATCCCTAGAAGGGGTGTGCAGGAGGCAGCTGACCAATGATTCTCATCATTGATGTTTCTCTCTCTTCCTTCCTCTCTCTGAAATCAATTTAAAAATTTTTTTTATTTTTTTAAGAGGATCAGTAGCCCTGGTTAGGTGACTCTGTTGGCTGGAGCATCGTCCCATACACCAGGGTTTACGGGTTTTGGGTTTGATTCCCGGTCAGGACACACACCTAGGTTGTGGGTTCGATCCCCAGTAGGGGCATGTAGGGAGGCAACCGATCAATGTTTCCCTCTTATATCAATGTTTCTCTTTCTCCAAAAATCAATAAAAAACATAGTCTCGGGTTAAAAAAAAAAAAAAAAAAAAAAAAAAAAGAGGGTCAGTAATCTCCCACGGTTACATAGCTAGTGAGAGGCACACCTGGGGTTGCTCCCGAGTCCATGCTCTTTGTGCTATCTGCCATACTTGCCCCGCCCCCTCTCGCCCTCTATCCCCCAGCCCTTCACCTCCCACTCACATGGAAGTAGCCATTCATGTTGAGGCCCACGATGCCGAAGTGGTAGGATCGGGAAACGTCAGGAATGATGCACTCCCGGCCTCGGCGCTGTTCAGGCATCCGCATCCACATGTCCCAGTCCCAGAGCTGGGGGCATGGGAGATCGCGGAGGTTAAGAGATGGGGAGCTGGTAGGGGACCCCAGCTCACTCCCCTACCCTGGCAGGACACCTTTTCTGGCGTGGGCCACTTGGGCTCAAGCTCCTCCTTGTACAAAGACCTCCTCAGCACCCAGCCTAGCCCAGGCATGGTCTCCACGCGGTACAGCAATGCCGGGTCCTCCGCCGTGTGTTCGTACCCCTGGGGATGGGAGACCGTGGCGGGAGGTGTTAGCTCGGGGCCTCTGCAAACGTCCCAGCCGACCCTGGCCTCTCAGCCTACCTGGTCGTTCCAGGCAGAGATACAGTACAGGCTGTCATCCTCCTCCAGCAGGTGGATGGACTGGCTCAGGAAACTGAGAGAGGCAGGGTCCAGGCATTCAGGGAGGGACAAGGACAAACCCAGTCACACAGTGATACACAAAGGGCTGGAGATGGGACTCAGAAGTCATGTCCCCTTGTTCTTTATTTTATTTTATTTTATTGATTTTTTTCAGAGTGGAAGGGAGAGGGATAGAGAGCTAGAAACATCGATGAGAGAGAAACATCGACCAGCTGCCATCTGCACACCCCCTACCGGGGATGTGCCCGCAACCAATGTACATGCCCTTGACCGGAATCGAACCTGAGACCTTTCAGTCCGCAGACCAATGCTCTACCGCTGAGACAAACTGGTTTTGGCCCCTTGTTCTTTTTTAAATATATTTTATTGATTTTCCAGAGAGGAAGGGAGAGAGATAGAGAGCCAGAAACATCGATGAGAGAGAAACATCAGTCGCCCCCTGCACACCCCCCACTGGGGATGCACCCGCAACCAAGGCACAAGCCCCCGACCGGAATCGAACCTGGGACCTTTCAGTCCGCAGGCCGACGCTCTATCCACTGAGCCAAACCTGTTTCGGCATGCCCCCTTGTTCTTCCCCTTAAATCTCCCGTCTCATTCTCTATTGATCCTTTCAGCTCTCTACTCCAGCCCAGCACCTGCCACTCCACATTTGCTCAGACTTTGGCCCCGCCTTTGAGCTTGCTTCCTCCAGAAAGCTCTCCAGGACCCCTCACTGCCTTCTTCCTTGGAGACCCAGCCAAGCAAAGAGGCCCCATGCAGCTCACAGAAGTTGCCATGGCAAGGCATTCCCCTCACCTGAAAAAGTCCACCGCAATGTCCAGGTCTTCCTCCAAAACCACAGCAAACTTGGCTTCCTGTCGCGGGAGGGGGACAACAGGATCCCGAGGGGACCGTTCCAGTCTCAGGTCCCCTCCACCCGCACCCCCTTCTCAGGCAGCGCTCGCCACACTTTCCCGGTGAGGAGGGCGAAGAGCTTGCTACGTCAGGCCAGACCTGATGCTCGCGTTTCCCCTCCCTGGGCCCAAGAGCTCTGTGCTTACTACTCACCGGGAACAGGTTGAACGTGGCAGTGAGGCTGGCCTTGTAGTGCTGGGTGGGGAACAGAAACAGGCACGTGAGCTTTAGGGTGGACGGTGCTGCCAGGCGCCTGCCCCTGCCCTCCCTGCCAAGGCGGTACCTGAGACACGCGGGCGTTCTTGATGCTGATGGGGGTGTGCTGGATGCCCCTCAAACCGAACAGCGCCACGACGTCCATTGGCTCCTGGGGGGCATGGCTGCTGGTCACCCACTGGGCCACCTCCCCCCCTGCCCACCTCTGCAGGCCCTGACACGCCAAGCCCTCCGCCTCTCACAGCCCCTGCCAGGCCTCAGTGATCACTGCTCCTCAGCGCTTGAAGCACGGTGCTCGGCCCCACCCAAAGCCCCCCAAGCCCACTCACCTCGTAATAGCCGTCAATGAACACAGTTATCATCTGGGGAGACACGCCCTGGGCTGAGAGCAGAGAGCGCAGCATCCTGGGGGGCCCGAGGGTAAGTTAGGCGTCTTTGTGTCCCCCCCAACGCAGGGCCCCCCCATGTTCATAGCTGGGCCCACATTCCCCACGTTCACCCACCTATGTCAATGGACCTAGAGTCTTCCTGCCCACCTCAAGAGCTCCCCCTACAGACAGGGGGGCCTGGGGTTCCCACCCTCTGAGCACCCTCCTGCCCGTGCTGGATGCAGCCCGCCGGGCTCACCTGTACAGGTAATTGGGCCGGTTCCCCGCAATGACAGCCACAGGAACATTGAGGACCTTGTTGTCTGGGAGCTGAGGGAGAAACAGCTTTTCACTCTTGCCTTATTCCCTCTCCAACCTGGGCCCCCCCAAGGGAGGAGTTCCTGAGGGGCGAGGGGGACTTCAGGGGAAAGGCAGAGAGTCCTCCTCTGACTCTGGGCCTTTGCTCACAGGGCCTGCCTTCCCTCCCTCCCTCCTCAGGATGCCCTGTCTTTCAGAGCTCAGTGCAAATCCTCAGCTCCTGGTTCGCTCCCAGGCTCAGGTAGAGAAAGCCCAGCCTGGATCTGTCCTGGGGCCCCTTGCCAAGCTGGGAAGGAGTCCAAGCCTCACTGCCGGAGGCCCCACTCACTGGGTCCGGGCTGAACTCGATGGGGGTGGGGTCCTTGCAGCTGCACACGCTCCCGTAGCCCTCGACTTTGCTGCAGAAGCGCCGGCGGCGCCGGTTCAGCTCCGTGTCCGCCCAGTGGCACTCTGCCTCTGAGGGGGAGAGAGGGTCCACAGGACGGGGGCGTGAGGCCAGCGCGGCCTGAAGCATTCCAGGCACCCGGTCAAGAGAACAAAGCCCCATGAAGAGGAGCCAAATGGCCAGCCCAGCCCAAGCACCGCCCCAGAGCCCAGCCCCCGCTGATCCCACCTTCTGCGGAGCTCAGCGGCACGTCTGTCTTCAGTAGGACTGGGTCCCCCCAGGACGAAAGGGCGGGTGACTTAGAGTGCTTCTCCCCGAGGACGGGACCTGGCCAGGGGCAGGAACGAGGAATAATGGGCTCCAGTTTTGGAGCTTCTTCCCATCTCCCTGCCCACTTGCATCCAACGCACCACCCCTGGCACCTCCTCGCTTCCCGCCCCACCCCACCCCACCCCACCCCGCCCCACCGAGGGTTCTGCTCCCCTCGGCCCTTAACCCCACAGGGTGGACTGGCTATGGTGCGGCACCTCCTTTGCGTCCCACGAAGGCCCAGGTGTCCCTCCAGCCCAGGGCAGGGCCGGCCTGGCTGCCGAGGCTCCTCAGCAGAGCCTTGGCCGTGTCCTTGAGGTGGAAGGAGCCCTCGTCCTGGGAGACCAGAGAAGGTGGTCAGCCTGACCAGCACAGCTCCAGGAGGCCTGGCCTCATGGAGCACCAACTCAGTGTCAAGCACCAGGCCAAACCTTTTATTAAATTAGCTGTTAAATGATCCCAACCACTCTCTGTGAATACCGTCATTCCACAGATAAGAACACTGAAGGCTTAGGGAGAAACCTGAGGATCATCCAAAGTCACCAGGCTAATAAATCCTTTCCATAACCCCACACAATATGCACCTCTGTCCCCTGCTCTCTCTCTCTGATCTCTTCCCCACTCTCCCCCCCCCCCCCCCCCCCCGCCTTATTCTGCTCTAGCTCCCCTGGCATCCCTCTCTTCTTCAAGTATGCCAAGGACCTTCCCACTCCGGGCCTTCACACGTACCCTTCTTGCTACTTAGAATGCTCTTCCTCCAGATATTTGCTTGGCTCTCTCCACACTTCCTCCGGCATTCTGCTCACACGCCATTTCCTAACAGAGGCCTTCCCTTTCTCAAATACATCCCCCATCGCTCTGTCTCCCTTTCTTTATTTTCTTCCTCATATACATTATCACTTCCTGACATTAAACATTTACTTAGCTACTCTTGCTCTGCTGGAACAAACTCCTTAAGGGTAGGGACTCTGTCTTGCTTCTCAATTAATAAAAATAACAAGACTAGCTGAAACCGGTTTGGCTCAGTGGATAGAGCACATGTGTCAAACACAAGGCCCGCGGACCAAATCCGTCCCGCCAGGCCTTGCAATGTGGCCCGCACCGCGCTGTCATCACTGCACTCCGCTGCGTTTCCATCACAATGACAGTTTATGACTGTTCAGTAAACCATTCGGCCCGCGATTTAGGCTGGATTTTAGATTTTGGCCCCTTCTCTGATTGAGTTCGACACCCCTAGTAGAGTGTCGGTCTGCGGACTGAAAGGTCCCGGGTTTGATTCTGGTCAAGGGAATGTATCTTGGTTACGAGCACATCCCCAGTGAGGGGTGTGCAGGAGGCAGCTGATCGATGTTTCTCTCATCGATGTTTCTGACTTTCTATCCTTCTCTCTTCCTCTCTATAAATAATCAATAAAATGCCGAAACCGGTTTGGCTCAGTGGATAGAGCATCAGCCTGCGGACTGAAAGGTCCTGGGTTCGATTCCGGTCAAGGGCATGTACCTGAGTTGCGGCACATTTCCAGTAGGAGGCGTGTGGGGGGCAGCTGATTGATGATTCTCTCTCATTGATGTTTCTAGCTCTCTATCCCTCTCCTTTCCTCTCTGTAAAAAATCAATAAAATATAAAAATAAATAACAAGGCTAGTGTTGGAACCTGAGTTACCTTCCTCCAGAGTCTCTTCTCAGTGTGCCAAATTAGGGGCATAGAACACAGGGCCGTGTTGGAGCTGGGTCTTGGGGAATGGGGCCAGGTAGTCACTGACCTTGACGGTGCAGATGAGCACTCGGCCGGGTGCCACCATGTTGAGGAACAGAACCATGGCCTCATCCTCATGAGGTGAGTAGGTGTCAAATACCCGCTTTGCCATCACGTGGCCCTGGCAGAGCACAGACCACCTGTGAGTGTGTATCACCAGCAGCAGGACTCGGCCTTGGCCCTCCAGGTCCCCTCCCCCTGGAACCTCACCGTGGCCTGGTTGAGGACGATGACATGGATGCCCCGGCCCTGCTCCCGGGCCTCATCCTCCAGGACCTACAGGGCGGCAGAGACAAAGCCCAACTCTTCACTCTGGCATTCAAGGGCTCTCTGTCTTATTGGCACTTAAGAAAAACAGCGACTGCATGAAATGAAACCTCTCCTCCTGCCTATCTATGCCTCTTACACAATTCCCTTCCCGCCCCGCGTGAAGGCCACCTCTTCCAGGAAGCCTCCATGGCACCCGATGGAAAGAGCTCACACCTCTCTCCGACCTTCCCCTCCACGGCTTTCGCGCGCTCAGAGCGCTGGGCTGTTTGCTCCTGGTGCTGGGGGCCTCGCACTGTTACATTAAACCCCTCTCAGCAGGGCCAGATCTGACGACTCTCAGGCCCCAGGGCCCCAGACAAGGCGAAGGAAGGGACCAGGAAGTCATTCTGACATAAATAACAAAGAGTTAACTACCGACTCATACTAATAATTACCGTATTTTTCGGACCATAAGACGCACTTTTTTCCGCCCAGAAGTGGGGGGGAAAAGTCCCTGCGTCTTATGGTCCAAATATAGCCTACACATATACTTTAAAAAAAAAAGTTTTTTTACTTGCCCGGCTCTGTGTGGTCTCTGTGTGCTTGCCCGGCTCTAAAATGGTCCTAAATGCCGCTGTTTACTTTACAGGGTTGATTACATGTGTTTATGACTGTGATGTTGGGTTTTAATGCACATAAAATATTTTAGGGCACTATTTGTTTCAGAATCTTTTTTTCTTCATTTCCCTTCTCTAAAAACTGGTGCATCTTATGGTCCGGAGCGTCTTATGGTCCGAAAAAGACGGCACTCCTGATAAAAACCCTCCACAGATAACATACGTCACATACTTTTCACTTACAAGCCTGACCAGGAGAAATCATGATTAGTCCCAGGTTACCGAGGAGGCACTGAGGCCTCCAACGTCACACACGTAGACGCTGGCGGAGGCACCGTTCCCCCTCAGGCAGCGGATCCCGGGGCAGAAAGGAGTGCCCTCAGCCCACTCACCGTAGTGCCGTCCACGGCCACATACACTTTGCTGCGGCTGGAATACACCTCCACGTCCAGGACCCTCCGGGGGCCGCCGCCCCTGCGTCGTGGGGGCTCCAACCGGCCCAGGGCCTCATCTGTGAGGACACGACGGGTCATGGAGGTGGTCTCAGCCTGTGGGATCTGCCCCTGTTTCAGCCGTAAGATCCCGGGAAACCCTGCCTCACACACACACACACACACACACACACCCACACCAGTCCCCTCCCCAGCCTCGCCCCACCATAGTCTTGCTCTGGCTCCAAGTCTTCATTGGCCTCGCTGATGGCCCGTCGTGTGTCCAGGATCAACTTGATGTTGACGATGACAGTCACCAGCAGGAAAAGCACAGCCCCTGTCTGAGGGGAGGGATAGGGATGACTCAAGAGGGAAATTCCCTCTAGATCGGCGAGGGTCTCCCTGCAAGGAGGGCCCTGGCTGCGGTGAAGGCACAGGGAGAACCGGAGTCTTTCTCTCCTCCTGCCGGCCCAGCTCTACGCTTCCAACCAGGGCCCAGGTCCATGATCTCCCCTGCCCCACCGTCCCTTCTTCCCTTCCCAGAGCTCCTGTAGTTTTCCATGGGAGACGCTTTGGTTGCCTCGGTTCCCTCCATAATTAGTTCCCAGAGAGGGAGCTGAGCATCAGAAGACCTGGGTCCCAGCGCTGACTGCCTGACTGGTGTGGGCTCCTGGGCAAAGCATTTATATATATATATTTTTTTTAATTGATTTTTTACAGAGAGGAAGGGAGAGGGACAGAGTTAGAAACATCGATGAGAGCCGGGACCGGTTTGGCTCAATGGATAGAACGTCGGCTTGGGGACTGAAGGGTCCCGGGTTCGAGTCCGGTCAGGGGCATGTACCTTGGTTGCGGGCATATCCCCAGTAGGGGGTGTGCAAGAGGCAGCTGATCGATGACTCTCTCTCATTGATGTTTCTAACTCTATCTCTCTCCCTTCCTCTCTGTACAAAATCAATAAAATATATTAAAAAAAAAAAAAAAAAGAAAAAAGAAACATCGATGAGAGAGAATCATCAATCAGCCGCCTCCTGCACACCCCCCACCGGGGATGTGCCCGCAAACCAAGGCACATGCCCCTGACCGGAATCGAACCCGGGACCCTTAAGTTCACAGGCTGACGCTCTATCCACTGAGCCAAACCGGTTTGGGCGGCAAAGCCTTTTAATCAGACTTCCTGCTTCTGTCGGAAGCCTAGAAGGCTGTTCTGGGCCCACACCACTACCTAGCAGGGACCTGACAGAGAGGTTTCCCCACGAGGAACCCATAGCCCCTTCCTTTCTAGGGAGGTGAGGCAGCCAAGGAGGAAGAGGTCCAGTGCTTATGGTCTAGGCTGGGGTAAGGCTGGGAGGGAGGAAGCCCTATGAGGTGTGGGACATCTCTGCACCTGACAGAATCTCCGCAGGGCCCGCTGGTTGGTCAGTTTGTACTTCCAGGTAAGGTACCAGCTCCTCTTCTTGCGAGCCCCGAAGGGCTTGGCGAGGGGGCTGGCCTTCCAGTCGTCCATGCCGGATGGGAGGGTCACCGCCGTCCTGAACCCATGCCTTCAGGGAACTGGGGGGACCAGAGGACCCCATGGAGTAAGTGAGGTGTTCTTCCTAAAGTCACTGCCTCCGGGGAGGTGGGGGAGGCCCTCCCGGGAACTCTCCCCTGCAGGCATCCAGCCTGTGTGTGACCTGGGGAACGTGGCCCAACTTTTCCGAAGGAAACCTTCAGAGGGTCAGGCCACCTGGAGCTCCCCGGGGACCGGGGACTGACAGCTGCCCAGGCGCCCGAGGAAGAGGGCAAACCATCTGCTTCCAAGGCTCACCCGCCCCCCAAGCTCCGAGTCCCGGGCCTCCCCGTCCTGGGATGGGCAGGGGCGGCGGCCTCCCCCGCCCCCCCCCCGCGCCCGGCCCCGCGCCCCCTCCCATCCGACCCCGCTCTCCTCTTCCTCCTCCCCCTCCTCCCCCCCCTCCTCCTCCTCGCAGGGCCGGGCCGCCGAGGCCCCGGAGGCCGGCCGCGCCCCCCCGGCCCCGCCCGGAGCACTCACGGTTCAGGGGCCCTGGGCCCCGCGCGGGGCCCTCTCGGGCCGGCCCCGCTCCGCCCGGCCCGCCGCGGCCTCCGCCTCCTCCATGCCGCCGAGGCCCCGCCCCCGGCCCGCCTCCCGGCTTCCGGGGGTGAGAGGGCGGCGGGCGGGGTGTCCCCGGATCCGCGCGTCCGAGCCCCTCCCCGGCTCCGCGGCCTCGGGCGGGTGCCGGGGAGCAGCGGGTGCCGGGGAGCAGCGGGTGCCGGGGAGCAGCGGGTGCCGGGGAGCAGCGGGTCCCCCACCTCCTGCACCGCCGGCGGCAAACCCGGCTCCAGTGGGAGTCCCGGAGCTTGGACTGGAGCGCGCGGCCCCCCGGGGCAGGGAGCGCGGCGCCCCCGGGGCAGGGAGCGCGGCCCCCCGGTCAGGGAGCACGGCCCCCCGGTCAGGGAGCACGGCACCCCGGGGCAGGGAGCGCGGCACCCCGGGGCAGGGAGCGCGGCACCCCGGGGCAGGGAGCGCGGCACCCCGGGGCAGGGAGCACGGCACCCCGGGGCAGGGAGCTCGGGCCTGGGACGCCACGACCGTCAGGAGCTCGTGGAGGCTGCACCCAGGTCTGCGGCGTGCGAGGCCTCTGACAACCAAAGGGAACTAAAATCTGGTTCTGCCTCACCCAGGTCCTGGGCAGGTCACTGCACGTCTCTGCCCAGGTCGCTAGTGCGCTTGTTTGGTGCTTCCTCTATGCAGTCAGTGTTCTGAGCGCTTCCTACTAACTCTTTTAGTTCCACAGCTTCATGAGGTGAGCACTACTATTCCAATCCTTTAAAAAAATACATTTTATTGATTTCTTACAGAGAGGAAGGGAGAGGGATAGAAAATTAGAAACATCGATGAGAGAGTTAACATCCATCAGCTGCCTCCTGCACACCCCTTACTGGGGACGTGCCCACAACCAAGGTACGTGCCCTTGACCAGAATCGAACCTGGGACCCTTAGTCCACAGGCCGATGCTCTATCCACTGAGCCAAACCAGTTAGGGACAGTTAGTTAGTTATTTTTGAACTCTCCATATTCCATCTGCTTCCTAAAGGGTGGGATGGTATCCCCCAAAATGTTAACATTCCATGAATCAAGAGATACTAAGGAAAAATGTTACTTAAAATTACAAAGATAGCCAGTATATAAACTAGGGTTAAGGCTAAAAATATTTAGGGCCAATGGAAGAAGGGAACTACAGAGTATGAGGTAAATCCTTATTTATCATAATAGGAAGTCAGTAGACAATGTTTAAAATTTCAGAAACAATGGTATATCCTGCTGGCGTGGCCCAGTGGTGGAGTCTCTACCTATGAACCAGGAGGCCACGTATTGATTCCCAGTCAGGCCACATGCCTGGATTGTGGGCTTGATCCCCATTGGGGAGCATGCAGAGGGCAGCCAATCGATGATTCTCCCTCATCATTGATGTTTCTATCTTTCCCTTTCCCTCTGAAATCAATAAAAATAATTTTTAAAAGAAACAGTGGTATTGACGAAACTGGTTTGGCTCAGTGGATAGAGCATCGGTCTGTGGATTGAGGGGTCCCAGGTTCGATTCCGGTCGGGGGCATGTACATTGGTTGCGCGCGCATCCCCGGTAGGGAATGTGCAGGAGGTACTGGTCGATGTTTCTCTCTCATCGATGTTTCTGGCTTTCTATCCCTCTCCCTTCCTCTCTGTAAAAGATCAATAAAATATATTTTTTTAAAAAGAAATAGTGGTATAGCCCTAGCTGGTTTGGCTCAGTAGACAGAGCATTCATTGGCCCTTGGGTTGAAGGGTCCTGGGTTCAATTCCAGCCAAGGACGTGTACCTCTTGGTTGCAGGCTCGATCCCCAGCATTGGTCGGGAGTGTGGGAAGCCACCAACTAAGGTATCTCTCTCACATGGGTGTTTCACTCTCTAACTCTCCTCCTCCCTTCCACTCTCTCTCTAAAAATCAATGGAAAAACATCCTTGGGTGATGATTAACAAAAAGAAAGAAAGAGAGGAAGGAAGAAAGAAAGAGTGGTACAAACCTATTGTGGGGTTATAAGTATATATACTAGGAAAAAATAGCTAAAAGTGATTGTCTCTTGGGATTGGTACTATAGGTGGGAAAGGATAGGGCAGGTGTAACTATCTTTTATCCTGTAACCATGGGCTGGAATTACTTGGATTAAAAACCAAAATCAAGCCCAGCCAGTGTGGCTCAGTGGTTGAGCATTGACCTATGAACCAGGAGGTCACAGTTCAGTTCCCAGCCTGGAACGTGCCCAGGTTTCAGGCTGGATCCCCAGTAGGCAGCATGCAAGAGGCTGATGATCAATGACTATCTCCCATCATTGATGCTTCTAAATCTCCCTCTCACTTCCTCTCTGAAATCAACAACAAAAAATTTTTTTAATCAAGCCAAAGCATAGTTTTTCATGGCTCCTCATTGCCTGTAGCATAAAATCTAAGCGCTTTAGAATTAGCTATACAGGCAGTGTCAGTGGCTAGTTAAATTCTAACCACTATTTTAGATCCAGCTCTTCTACTCACCCTCTGCAATTATTGGGGCAGAAATGGATTAGTGGAGATCAGCTATAATTATAAGAAATATTAATCATGCTGTTAACCATGATTGTTCTCATTAGAGGAAGCTCATTCTAACCTGGCTGAGAGTTATACACCCCGGGACATAGGAGCCAACATTGGAACTACCTATCATTGTGGAAAGATTAAACAATCTAGTCCTGTAGATACCTGGAAGTGCCCACCCTCTGTGACTCCCCGCCCCCAGCCCGCATTGCCTGTAGCCTATAACCATTATGCCTTGTCTAATTTCCCATGCCTGTACGGTAATTCTTTTTAAAAAAATATATATTTTATTGATTTTTTACAGAGAGGAAGAGAGAGAGTTAGAAACATTGATGAGAGAGAAAAATCAATCAGCTGCCTCCTGCATCCCTCCTACTGGGGATGAGCCCGCAACCAAGGTACATGCCCTTGACCAGAATCAAACCTGGGACCCTTCAGTCTGCAGGCCAAGGCTCTATCCACTGAGCCAAACCGGCCAGGAAGTAATTCTTACTTCCCCATGTAATCTTCCTCCCTCTTCCCAATATAAGCAGCTGGCTTGTGGGGAGGGGTAGAGCAATTTTTGTGGTCGACCTGCTGCTCTCCCATACTGCTGGCAGTATTGGATAAACACTCATATGATTCCACCCTGCTTAATTGGCTCAAGCAGTGACAGCAGCCGGGACCCACTGGTTGTCCGGTTACATGACCACTGTTCCTTAAACTCCCACATCCATGACTGAGCATGCTTAGCCTTCATTCAGCAAACACTTATTGGCGCCTGCTGTGTACCTGGCTGGATTCCTGTGAGGCTTGGGGGTAGGGAGAAGGCGCCGAGTTCTTCCAATGCTCCTTCAGTTACAAGCCCAGAATCGCCCAATCGCCCAGCCCTAAGCATTCCAAGGCCAGAGGTTGTGTCCGCAGCCCTCGAACACACGAACACACACACACACACACACACACACACACGCCACACGGCTCTGCGCGGCTTTTCTGAGCATTACGGCGCGCTCCTCCTGCCTCCACGAGACACACACACACACACACACACACACACACACACACACACACACGGCTCTGCGCGGCTTTTCTGAGCATTACGGCGCTCCTCCGCCCCCACGACACACACACACACACACACACACACACACACACACTCACTCGGCTCTGCGCGGCTTTTCTGAGCATTACGGCGCGCTCCTCCTGCCTCCACGACAGACAGACACACACACACACACACACACACACACACGGCTCTGCGCGGCTTTTCTGAGCATTACGGCGCTCCTCCGCCCCCACGACACACACACACACACACACACACACACACACACGGCTCTGCGCGGCTTTTCTGAGCATTACGGCGCTCCTCCGCCCCCACGACACACACACACACACACACACACACACACACACACGCCACACGGCTCTGCGCGGCTTTTCTGAGCATTACGGCGCTCCTCCGCCCCCACGAGACAGACACACACACACACACACACACACACACACACACACTCGGCTCTGCGCGGCTTTTCTGAGCATTACGGCGCTCCTCCGCCCCCACGAGACAGACACACACACACACACACACACACACACACACACACGGCTCTGCGCGGCTTTTCTGAGCATTACGGCGCTCCTCCGCCCCCGCGCGGCGGGCAGGGACCCACCGGTTCCGGCACCCGCGGCGGAGCCGTGACGCCGGGGAGCGGACCCCGCCGGGCCGCCGCTCCGCTCGGCTCAGGCTGCAGGCCCGCATGGAGGGGACCGCGGAGCCCCCGGCGCCGGACCTGCGGGACGTGGAGAGCAAGGTGGGCAGGAAGACCCCCGAAGGGCTGCTCCGCGGGCTGCGAGGGGAGCGGGAGCCGGGACCCCCCGGCAGCCTGCTGCTCGCGGGGGCGCCGGGCTCGGGCCACGGCCTGGGGGACAAGATCCAGGCGCTGAAGGTGGAGCTGGTGAGTGCGGGGCTCCACAGGCGGGCGGAGGCGGGGCTGTGAGGTAGGACCCCAGCCCCGAGTCCCTGGGACCCCGATGTAGGGCCTGGAGGAACGACTCAGGGTTGGACTGGAGACCGGGGAGCTTAACTCTCCACCTAACTCAACAGGGTCTCTCTCGGGTCCATCCTATGCCCTGGGGTCCATCAGTTGCTTCCCCGAGGGTGAGAAGAGTGTAGGTGGGTCCTGAAGGCTTGGGGTGAGAGGCAGGCTCCTGCAAGTTTTTCCTGCCAAATGACTGGGAGGGGAGAGGCGACGGCTGGGAAGCATTGGGGACCTAGCACAGCAGAAATCTCCCCACCTCCCAACCCTACTCCTCACCCACAGGACCATCTACCCCCCAGCCGCCATGATAGGGCAGCCAGTTTTTCCTCCACCTGCAAACCGGGTCCGGGGTTTGTTCTTCTGAGGCCTCATGTTTCACCGCAGGAGTCAGCACAGTAGAGATTTGGGTGAAAACTGCCTAGACTAGGGCTACTAAAAACATCCTTTCTTCCACTAACATTCTCCCAATCTCCCTTAAAATATTTGAAATTTCCTAGAACCTTAGCAGACATGAGTAGCAGCACTATCAGTGTTGGTTTCATCACCTCTGACTCAGTCTCCTCCTCACCAACCCCCCCGGCGTGCACCAGCTATTCGGATCTCATCTGAACCTCCTTGGGGAGAACAGGAAACAGGCACCCTGCCCCGTCCCCGTTGCTGCTGGGTCAGGATTCAGAGCCAAAAGAGCAGGTGGGACCCACCAGGCTCCCTGGCCGTGATTCCGGTGAAGGTGGTGATTTACACCTGCCATCGCTTCACAGCCGGTTCCCGAGGAACTGCCAGCTGCTCTCTGGCCACAGAGAGGATGTGCGTTAATGTCTTCCTGGAGCCCCACTGTGTGCCCAGCTCTGTGCCAGGCGGAGCTGTGAGGGAGAGGGAGAGGGGGTCATGGGGACTTCCAGACAGCCTGAGAGGCTGGTTGGAGAGCCTTATGGGCAGAGCAATCAGGGAAGGCTTCCTGGGGGAGGATCTGAATGCCATGTATGCACTTGGCCTTGAAGGCTGGAGGAGAGCCAAATTCTCCAAAGTAGTGTCCACCTGGGGGGGGGGGGGGGGGGGGGGGCTGGCCTTGCCTCACTGAACAAGCTTTAGCTCCAGGCCTAGAAAGAGCCTACCTAGAGCGCCCTCCTTGGGGAGCTAACTTTTACCAAGGGCATGTGCCAGACTTTGGGCCGAGCACTTTCCAAGTTTGCCTCTTAATCCTCATGGCAGCCCTGTTAGGAAAGTGGTATTTTATAGATGAAGAAACTGAGGCACAGAGCGGTTAAGTGATTGCCCAAGGTCCTACGAAGTTAAAAAGCAGAGCCAAGCTTTGAACCTAGGTGACCTGCCACACTTTACATGTACCACTGCCACCTGCTTTGTGCCAGACGCCGTAAACATACTTTATGGCATTCAGATGAGCAAAGCAGTTGCCATTTTCCCCCTCTCACAGATGAAGCATGCTTGTAGGTGCTGAGGGACTTGCCTGAGGTCACACAGGGAGGAGCCATGCCTCGGCTCTCCGGCTCTAACTCTTTTCTCCTTTGGTGGGTGTTCCTTCTGTGAACTTTAAGGGATACGTTTAACTTCTGATCAGGTCTCAACTCTTGACCCAGCCTAGCCTGGGGCCCAGGATTAAAGGGGGGAGCTTTATGGGGTCCCTAACAGGGAGAGGCTCCCTCTGAGCCCCACGGATCCCTACTCCATTTCCTTCTCCCTGTTCAGGCCAGGAAATCACGAATCTCTTTTATACTCTGCCCTGCCCCCTGGGTTACAGCCAGGGAGGACAAGGATCAGGGCAGGGGGGTTCCGCCCTGAAGCCACTTGTCACAGAACTGGCCCAAGCCCTCTAAGGACTGTCCTTCCACAGCCTTCCTCCCAGCTCCCCTGCAGGGAGGGGACAGGCTTGCCCTTGAGGCCAAGGTCATCCCTGCCTCTAGGCCTTTTCCCTTTTGCCCTGCCAGACTCTGGAGTATGCGGAAAGGAAAAACAGTGGCAACCTCCTCTTAATACTACTTCCCAAATAACTTGTTATGACAACAACCCCACAGAACAGTTTGAAAAAAAACTTTAGCCCACTGGTATGGCTCAGTGGGTAGAGCGCCCACCTTATGAACCAGGGGGTCATAGTTCAATCCCTGGTCAGAGCACGTGCCCGGGATTGTGGGCTCCACCCCCTGTGTGGGGCCTGCAGAAGGCAGCCGATCAATGATTCTCATCATTGATGTTTCTGTCTCCCTCTCCCTTCCTCTCTGAAATCAATTTTTAAAAAAGTATTTTAAAAAAGCTTTAGGCAAGAAGTGGGGAGGCATAGGTTCAAGCCCTAGCTCTGCTGAATCATCTTGAGATCTTGAGCAGGGCCTCTCTCTGGGCCTTAGTTTTTCTGCTTCTTCCCAAAGTGGGTGAAGGCTAGTGATTGTGAGACCAGATGATCTCTAAGAGCCTTCCTAGTAATAATAGTTTGAGAATCTCAGTCCATGACCAGGATTTGGGACTGGGATTTTTATCCTAGGGCCTGATTTGATCTGAGTGAAGGGCTGGGCTGAGGGTCTGGTGTGTATGTGTTAAGGGGAGGAGGAGGGAATCTGAATCCCTGTGGGGAGAGAATTGGGTTGGAGTGGCCTCTGAGTCTGCATCTCTCCTGAGCTGGCATTTGGGGTTGTTTTAATACATTTTTTTTTTTTATTGATTTCAGAGAGGAAGGAAGAGGGAGAGAGATAGATACATCAATGATGAGAGAGAATCATTGATTAGCTGCCTCTTGCATGCCCCACACTGGGGATCGAGCCCACAACCTGGGCATGTGCCCTGACTGAGAATTGAACCTGGGACACTTCAGTCCATAGGCTGAAGCTCAATCCACTGAGCCAAACCCTCTAGGGCTGACAAGGATACTTGAATCGGAGGAGACACTGCTTTGTCTGGCTAAGTTCTACTTAATTTTCAAAGCTCTAAATGGAAATAGATACAATATATCTACCCTGTTTCCCTGAAAATAAGACAATGTCTTATATTAATTTTTGCTCCCAAAGATGCGCTAGGTCTTATTTTCAGGGGATGTCTTATTTTTCCATGAAAAAGAATACGGTACACATTTATTGTAAAATGAAAATAAAGGAAATTTATTACCTGTATACAGTACAATAGTATGGTAGTTGTCAACACAAACCAGACAAACTGTGAATCCTACAGTATCAAGAATTTACTCATTTATTCAATGACAATCATGTCATCATCTTCTGGAACATCATCATAACAATCCAATTCCTGAATTTCCTGGTGAATTTCTTGTGACTCCATTTCTTTCAGAATCAGTGGACCAAATCTCTCATGTTTAGCCTAGGGGGGCCTTATTTTTGGGGGGATGCCTTATATTTCACTCAGAAGGAAACCTGTAAGTAGGTCTTATTTTCAGAGGATGTCTTATTTTCGGGGAAACAGGGTATTGCCACTAAGATGGAATAGATACAATATATGATATGTTTAAAAGCCTTGAAAAATTCAGACAATTGAGAGATAATTTGGTGATGACTTATTGATAACTATATAGCAAACTAAGCAAAACAGTAGTAGTAGTAGTAATCCAATATAATAAAAGGCTAATATATAAATTGACCAAAGGGCGGAACAACCAATCGCTATGATGCACACTGGCCACCAGGGAGCAGATGCTCAATTCAGGAGCTGCTCCTTGATGGCCAGTGTGCTCCCATGGGGGAGCACTGCTCAGCCAGAAGCCAGGCTCCCGGCTGGCAAGCGCAGTAGCAGTGGCGGGAGCCTCTCCTGCCTCCGCAGCAGGTGGACATTCCCCGAGGGTTCCTGGACAGCAAGAGGACACAGGCTGGACTGAGGGACCCCACCCCAGTACACAAATGTCGTGCACTGAGCTTCTAGTAATAATATAACATAGCCGAAACCGGTTTGGCTCAATGGAGAGAGCGTCGGCCTGTGGACTGAAAGGCCCCAGGTTCGATTCTGGTCAAGGGCCTACACCTTGGTTGTGGAGACATCCCCAGTGGGAGGTATACAGGAGGCAGCTGATAGATGTTTCTCTCTCATCGATGTTTCTGACTTTCTATCCCTCTCCCTTCCTCTCTGTAAAAAATCAATAAAATATATTTTTAAAAAATAATATAACATATTCTAACACGAATAATACTAATATAACATATTATAACATTGATAATAACATATTCAATTGTCCTGTTGGGGAATTGAACCATGACCTCTTGGTTCATGGATAGACACTCAACCACTGGGTAACATATTATTATTCTAAGGAAAACATATAAAGTTGTAAGAAATGACAGGTAATTATAGTAAACCACATGGCTTAGCTGTGATTGAATTTTAATAAGATAAACACTGAATAATTAACTTTATTGTATATAATGGGAATATGGGAAGATGGAAAGAGTGCCTGTATGGCAGAGAAATGGGGAGTAAATTGAAAGAGTTAAATTCTTAACTTTCTATCATGTGGGAAGTCAGTAGAAAATAGCTAAAACTTAAAAATTAGTAAGTAGCATGTTATTTGGAAATTAGAAGGTAAGTACCAAAATAAACAGCTAAAAAAATTAATAGTTGTCTCTGGAGTGTGGGATTTAGGACAATGATGGAGAACGGTTACTTTTTTAAAAAATATATATTTTATTGATTTTTTACAGAGAGGAAGAGAGAGAGAGAGAGAGCTAGAAATGTTGATGAGAGAGAAACAAGGGCCAGCTACCTTCTGCACATCCCATGGATGTGTCTGCAACCAATGTACATGCCCTTGACCGGAATCGAACCTGGGACCTTTCAGTCCGCAGACCGACGCTCTACCACTGAGCCAAACTGGTTTCAGCAGGAATGGTTACTTTTCATAATAAATCTTGCAGAACTTTTTGCCTCTTTAATCTTTTTTTTTCTTTCTTTTTCCCCCCTCTTTAATCTTTATCTATTACTTTGACTAAAAATAGCACCAAATAAAAGGAACTTTTAAGTCGGGTGGCAGAACCGGGAGTTCCCAGGGAGGTATGTTAGAAGGGAAGCTGGAGAGATGGGCAAGAGCAATATTATGAAAGCCTTTGAATGCCAGCTGCTAAACTGTTTACATTTTATTCTCTGAGAGCAGTGCAAAGCCAATAAGGCTCTTGAGCAAGGGAGGGGCAGGTTCAAACTTGTGTTTGGGAAAGATAATTCAGTGCCTCTGAGTTGAAAGGGACCCTTGAGATTACCCAGCCAGTCAGACTTACTCCCAGTACAAGCAGGGAGACAAGTGTGGTGGAGGAAAGCCCTGACTCCCTAGTCAGAGGGATTCTGACCCTACGAAGCTCCAGCCAACTCTTCTTCTCTCCCTTACCAATTGCTACCGGCACCCTGAAGTGACTGGGGGACAGGTTAGCTCCCTCTTCATCCCTCAGGTCCTGTCTTCTCTTGGCCCAGTCTACTTTCCAATTCATAGCTGACCTCCTAGCAGACGATTCGTTGGCTGTTTTTGAGTCTTCCTGGTGACTCTGGATCGGTTGTTTTAATAATAATAATACCTATCTATGAAGTTCAAAGCTCAGTAGGATCAGATTTTAATATTTAACATTTACTGAGACCTTACTCTGTGGCAAGCCTTACTCTGAGTACTTAATAAACAGCATCTCAAAATTCCACAGCTACTCTGTGAGGTGAGTAATTTAATGATATTTTACAAACAAGGAAACTGAGCTCAAAGAAGATATGAAAATTGGCTATAGTGGTGTAGATAATATGTGGTAGAGGTGAGATTTTTAAGTAGTAATCTGTCTGCTTCTAAGCCCACACTCCAAACCCTTCTGTTTTCATGCTTGAAAACAAAACAAAACAAAAAAACAAAACACACACACTTTTTTTTTACAGATTTTTAGAGAGAGAGGAAGGGAGAGGAAGAGAGAGAAACATCAATGTGAGAGTGAAACATCAATTGATCAACTGCCTCCAGCAAGCCTCCCACTGGGGAGCGAGCCCTCCACCCTGGGCGTGTGCCCTGATCAGAATCAAACCTGGCAACCTTTTGGTGCATGGGACAGCGTCCAACCAACCGAGCCACACCAGCCAGGACTCCCTGCTTCTTGAGAGTGAAACATAGTTGGTTGGACCACAAGGTAGGGAGCCTCTGGAAACATTTGGGAAATGCATGGCCCAGAACCAGGACTGATTCCTTCTCCCACTCCCCCAGGCTTACCTGCGAGCCGTTGACGTGAAGATCCTACAGCAGCTGGTGACGTTGAATGAGGGCATCGAGGCGCTCCGCTGGCTGTTGGAAGAACGGGGGACGTTGACCAGCCACTGCAGCAGCCTCACCAGCAGTCAGTACAGCCTGACAGGCGGGAGCCCAGGCCACTCAAGGAGAGGCAGCTGGGACAGCCTGCCAGACATCCGCTCCACCGACCAGCTGGACAGTGTCTCCATTGGCAGCTTCCTGGACACCGTGGCACCCCCTGAGCTGGATGAACCGGGCAACCTTAGGGCTCCCCATCCTGAGATGGACTGGGCAAAGGTTCTGCCTGGTGGGGAGAGGGCCAGGGCTGAGCTGGACCTGACCGCCACCAAGCTAGGGAGCTTGAGGGCTGCGTGGAAGCCCCCAGAGGAGGGGCTCCAAGGTGGACCTCCTGAGCCACCAGAGGACGAAAACACCAAACTGGGCTTTGAGGTCCACTGGTACTGGGGCCAGTGCCAGGATGATGTGACCTTCCTGTAACAACATGTCCTCCCTTTTGTTCTGCTGTGGCTCTTTCTTCACCGGGCCCTGGTCCCCCTTGAAATTTATTCTCTCTCAATTTGGGACTAGGAAGAGGCTGCATTGAAATCCGTTACCATGGAAATCTGCCCTCACCATCCCTCTCGTCCCTGGGGAGTCTATGCCTCTATCCCTCAATTATTGGGTCCCTAGAGCTATATATATTATACATATGTAATATATATATATATTCCCCATACGTATATTAATTCTAGAGCAGGGGTAGGAAATGTTCAGCCTATGGACTGCATAAGGCCTGTGAAATCATTTGGTCTGGCCCTGCCAAGGCATTAGGGATGAGTTAACTAAATGTTTGACCAAGTATAGCCGGCTGATGTTTAAGCTGATAATTTTGTATGGCCTGTGAACAATGTTATAACTATCCAAATGGCCCTTGGCAAAAAAGAGGTTCCCCACCCCTGCTCTTGAGGGTGTGATGGTCTCTCTTTCCGTTTTCTCATAACTACGTAAGGATTTGAAGGATTTAGGACCCTTAGGAGGTCGCTCATGAAGAGATATGGGAATAATGGCCTCCCTCAATGTCTTAAGAGCTTTGGCTGTCTCTCCCCCCTATCCCCACCTTGGCCAAGATGGATGATTGTGGAGGGACATGGTCACTCAGGGCCAACCCTCCATGGATTAGCCTTCCTAGGAGCCTTTGGGGTTGGTGGAACCACTGTTTCCTGTTTGGTGAGTGATGTCATTGCCTGCCAGGATGGACTAGCCTTTCCACTGTACCAGTCCTTTGGTGGTAATAGGTCAGTCCAGCGGTATCTGAACCCCTGCTGCTAAAGGAGACCATGCCATTTATTCTCCAAACCATTACTTCCTGTGAGGGGAAGCATACCACCCCTCCTGGCAAGAAATTTTCTCACTGTCAGATGTTTATGCTTCTTCTCAGAAAAGTTCATACTTTTTAAACAGGGCTAGTCTCATTTCGTCCTAGGGGATCTGGATTCCTCTGTAACCACATCCCTGTCTGGTGCCAGCACTCCTATATCTGTGCTGTCAGGGAGGGAAACCGGCAAGGGCCTCCGCCTGCTGCTCTCAGAAGCCTGGGCCTGCCCTGCCACAGTCAGTTCGCGTTTTACCCTGTCCCTGGGTTGTCTCCATTCTTGTATTCTGGCTCCAAATCTGTCTGCCAGGAGGCTCAGTCTTTGTGTCTCCTCACCTTCTCAGTTTCCACTTCCACTTCAGGCTTCAGGCCTTTTATATGCAGATGAGTCCCCGTTGCTTAGGGGAGGACGGGCTTGAGGTCTCGGAGCTCTGGAGGAGTACCAGAATCTCCAAAGTGAGGAGATGTCTTTCTTTCTGAACCCGTGACTCCCCCTCCCCCACCTTGCCCCGACCCTCTACCATTCGGTCAAAAGTCCCAGCCCAGAAACTGGGACACAGGAATCCCCTTGTTTGAATTACAATGGGGGGTGTGGTGTTGGCCGGGAAAGATAGGCTCTTTAGTCCTAGGGCCCACGTCCCTGGAGGAGGGAGAGATGGAGGGAAAGGCCACTTTGCTTCCTCCCTCAGAGCAAGCCCTAGACTCCTGATGAGGGAGCAGGGGACTCGCTCCTCCTCCCCCATCCCCTCAGTGTGTTTGGTATCACTAAAATATATCCTTAGCTTTCCTCTGCTGCCTGCCAGCCCTCTCCTTACCACCCTCCTGGTCTTGGGGCTCCAAATTCAAACACCCTTTTCTCATGCCTCCTCTGTTGCCATTTTGTTGTGTGCCCTTGGGGAATTACCTTGTATTCCTTTTTGAAGCTAGCTTATTTGTTTAGTCTACAGATCTCTGAGCTGAAGCAGTTGCCTGCCATCTTGTGGTCATTATGCACCATTGCCATGAGTAGCTGGGTGGAACCTCCAAATTCAAATACAGCCGGGGCCTCAGGGTACAGACCATTGGAGAGACAGGCCTAGAGAGTCAGAGACTTGCCCGGTGTCACCCATGGCGTCTCCTGCCTGCTAGCCTGCCCACAGTTCTCTCACCTGGTCAGACTGTTCCTCCACCTCACCCAGTCACTACCACCCAAGCCTAAAGGGACTGAAAGCAGTTTTCTCCCATTTTAATATTTGGGTTCTCATCCTGCTGTAAAGAGGCAGCTACATGTTCAGAGAAGGGCTACAGGCTCTGAGGAAAGAGAACCTTGGACCTGGATTGGGTAAAGGCTACACGAATGTGGTCTGCAGATATAAGGAAAATCAATCCTGGACCATTTTTCTGGGAAGGGAGGGTGAGTAGGGCTGGAAATCATGGGAGGTTAGAAGTGGGGCCTGGGGTGGAGAGGTTTGAGGTTAGGAAATCCAGGTGGGTGCTATGGAGTGGGGGCTCCATATGTCAGGGTATCACAAGGAGATGTGACTTTTTTTTTAAGTGGGTAATTAGGTAATTTAAAACATTTAATTCTTAAACCTATAAACAATGCCTTATTAACAATGTGTTGTTTAGACATTTGCTCAGGTAGTAATATAAGTAACAAATGAGTGGTAATGTGAACCTAGTTCAGTTTGATTGCAGGGGCCTAATTGGATAGGCGTGTGAGGGTGTTGAGCTGGAGAGGCTTGGTGAGTTGGGATGCCTGGGCACTCCAGGTAGGTCTAGGCATCCTATCTTTATCCCGGCTTAGACCCTATTTCGCTACCGGAGAAGTTCAGGAACCCAGCAAGCACACATCCTTGGTCCCTCCTATCAGCCTTTGGACTGGCTGCTTGAGACTTAGCTCTCCTGTTAACTTAGACCTTCCAAACTACTAGCTCAGAGGAAGAAAGGAGGGGAAGGGGGAAGAGATAAGAGGGAATGAGATGGAAGTGGAGTGGTGAAAGTATGATCAGAGGGAGCATACTGTCCTCCGAGTGGGCCCGAGGCTTTTGTCAGGGCTCATGATAAAGGCAGAGATGCAATTGCTCTTGGCAACTGCAGAAATAGTGCCTGGAAGGATAAGGGGTGGTGCTGACTGGGGTGGGTACCTCATGAAGACACGAGGCCAGGTGAGTGGACAAGTGTAAGGGCCTGCATTTCGGATGGGGGCAGTGAGGCTGAGCACTGGACTGACTGGAAGCTCAGTGGCACCTCCGGTGAGAAATGCTTGGGGCTTGTAGACACAGCTCACTGTGCATGGTGCCAGGCACACACGGGGTGTTCAGTGACACCCATTAACTAAATGGGGAATGAATGTATAAACCCACAAGGAGATGAGACTTCTTTAACTGGGTAATTAGGTAATAATAGGTAATTTAAAACATTATTTAATTCTTAGCAACCCTATAAACAGTGCATTATTAACAATGTGTTGTTGTTTAGACATTCGCTCAGGTAGTTATATAGGTTCAGTTTGATTGCAGGGGCTTCTGGGAAATCTGAGTCTCCACTTGCCACCCGCACAAACCTTACTTTCCTAGGAGAACAAGTTAGTGCTGCCCAGCCGCAGGGCCAGCATACTAGTTTCCTGTTGCTGCTGTAATGAATTACCATAAACATAATTGCTTAAAATAACAAATGCATTAGCTTACAGTTCTAGAGGCCACAGCTCTGACATCAGTTTCATTGGGCTGAGTCAAAAGTCAAAATGCTGACAAGCTTGCACACTTTCTGGAGTCTCTAGGGGAGAATCCACACTTCTTTGCCTTCTCCGAGCTCTAGAGGCTGTTTGCATTCCTTGGTTCACAGCCCCTTCCTCCATCATCAAGCCAGCAACATAGCATCTTCACTCCCCTGACCTCTGCTTCCGTCCTCTAATTCTATTTCCTCTTATGAGACTTACATTCTGATTACACGTCTGTATAATTCTTTTGGGTCCACTGAGACATCTCCCCACCTCAAGACCTTTAACCATATCTTCAAAGTCCCTTTTGCCATGTAAACTAAGATACTAACAGGTTCTGGGAATTAGGACATGACTATCAACCACAGGCAGAGATGGAGGGTGGGCAGGAGGGTGCACTCAGGGCCAGAATGAGCCTCTGCTTTGTCCACCCTCCCTTAGGCTGGTGCCAAGGGGACAGTTGTAGGCTCCATGTCTGGGGAACAGCAAGCGCCTCCTGAATCACATTGCCAGGAAGAGGTGAGAGTGAAGATCAGACTTGAGGGAAATTCTCAGTTTAGAGAACTTTTCAGTTCTGAATTCTCCTGCTGGACAACTTTGTCTTTAACATTGCCTTCTCTCCAGAAACATTCTGTACTCCTCAAGGCAGAAGATAATTACCAGCAAACTGGCCAGGGGGCTCTGGAAAGGGTAGATTTTTCTCCTTAAAAAAATTGATTTTAGAAAAAGGGCGAGAGAGAAACACCAGTTTGGCCTTGACTGGTTTGGCTCAGTAGATAGAGCATCAACATAGGGACTGAGGGTCCTGGGTTTGATCCCGGTCAAGGGCACATGCCTGGCTTTCAGGTTCAGTCCCCTGTAGAGGGTGTGCAGGAGGCAGCCGATCAATAATTTTCATCATTAATGCTTCAATCTTTGTCTCCCTCTCTGAAACCAATATATATATATATATATATATATATATATATATATATATATATATATACACACACACACACACACACACACACACACACACACACACTAGAAGTCTGGTACACAAAATTCAAACACAGGTAGGGTTCCTAGGCCTAGCTGGCAATCAGGGCTGATCTGTGCGGCAACTGGTGGGGTAATCCAGGGGCCCCTGCTGGCACAAACCTTGGCCAGCCTGGGGGCCTGCGGGCTGGGGGTAGCTCCTGTGTTGAGTATCTGCCCCCTGGTGGTCAGTGCACGTCATAGTGACCGGTTGTTCGGCTGTTCAGTTGATTTGCATATAAGGCTTTTATTATATAGGATACTTATGTGTTTTAATATATACAAATGGTATAATTTTATAATGAGCTAACTTTTATAATGAATTGGTCCATATTTCAGTGATTTGACACAATAAAGATTATTTTTCACTTACACAGGAGAACAAGCATTCTGGCTGGACAGCTCTCTCCCAGGTTCCTTCTATGTTCAGGTGGTGACAAGCCTGATCCTACATCATAAAGCTCCCTGTTAACTTTTCACCAAATTATTATTATTTTTTTAATATATTTTATTGATTTTGTACAGAGAGGAAGGGAGTGAGATAGAGAGTTAGAAACATCGATGAGAGAGAGTCATCAATCAGCTGCCTCTTGCACACCTCCCACTGGGGATATGCCTGCAACCAAGGTACATGCTTTTGACCGGAATCGAACCCGGGACCTTTCAGTCCCCAAGCCGACACTCTATCCATTGAGCCAAACCGGTTTCGGCTCACAAATTATTTTACTATTAATGAACATTTTATGACTTGGTTATTTCACCAGGGATGATAAAATTATGATTTTCTAAAGCCATTATTTCTTCTTTTCTTAGTTTTAATTCTGTACAGAAAAAAATTTCACATCCTCTAGGACCATTTGGTTACCCTGAATCAAAGTTCATATCATAATGTTAAGATAAATGCTTAAATCTCTTTCCTTATTTATTTATTTATTTATTTATTTATTTATTTAATTTTATTTTAAAAATATATTTTATTGAGTTTTTACAGAGAGGGATAGAGAGTTAGAAACATCTATGAGAGAATCATTGATCAGCTGCCTCTTGCACACCCCCTACCAGGGATGTGCCCGCAACCAAGGTACATGCCCTTGACCGGAATCGAACCTGGGACCTTTCAATGCGCAGGCCGATGCTCTATCCACTAAGCCAAACCGGTTTCGGCCTCTTTCCTTATTTATCTCTTTCATGCCCCCTACTGGGGATCAAGCCCTCAACTCCAGCTTGTGCCCTGACCAGGAATCAAACTGTGTCCTCCTGGTTCACAGGTTGACTTTCAACCACTGAGCCATGCCACAGTATGTATATATACTGAGTGGTCAGATTATTATGACCACCCAATCAGTACTTCATCGGGCCACCTTTTCCTTCTTGACATTGACTCCACGAGATGTTGAAAGGTCATGCGAGGAATCTGACACCATGCCTGATGAATAGCACTCTCCAGTTCTGTGAGATTTGATGGTTGTGGAACCAACTGTCTGATGGCTCTTTTAACTTCGTCCTACAAATGCTCAGTTGGATTGAGATCTGGTGATTGTGGGGCCTCCTAAGCAAGGTAAGGTCTCCCTCACGTTCTTGAAACCATTCCTGCACAATACGAGCACCGTGGCATGGCGCATTGTCTTTTTTTTTTAATTTAATATATTTTATTGATTTTACACAGAGAGGAATTGAGAGGGACAGAGAGTCAGAAACGTCGATGAGAGAGAAACATCGACCAGCTGCCTCTTGCACACCCCCCACTGGGGATGTGCCCGCAACCAAGGTACATGCCCTTGACCGGAATTGAACCCGGGACCTTTCAGTCCGCAGGCCGACACTCTATCCACTGAGCCAAACTGGTCCTGGCAAATGGCACATTGTCTTGCTGGAAGAAGCCATCTCCATTGGGATACGCCATCAACATAATAGGATGAACTTGATCAGCAATGATACTTAGGTATGTTGTGCTATTCAGACGTTGTTCCACACGAATTAAAGGGCCCAAATCATGCCAGGAAAACATGCCCCAAACCATAACACTGCCCCCACCAGCTTGAAGGGTTGTACTCATGCATGTGGGGTGCTTGGTTTCATGCTGTTTCCATGAAATTCTCACTCTGCCATCTGCATGTTGCAACTGGAAACGTGATTCATTGAACCACATGACTTTTTTCCAATGCTCAACTGTCCAATCATTGTGTTCTTGTGCGAATTGGAGATGTTTTATCTTAGTAACTGCAGACAGCAAAGGTGTTCAAATAGGCCTTTGGCTTCCATATCCCATATGATGCAGTGTATAGCTAATTTGCCTACAAACGTCAGGTGGTCATAATAATCTGGCCACTCAGTGTATGTGTGTGTGTGTGTGTGTGTGTGTGTGTGTGTGTGTGTGTGTATATATATATACATTGATACACACACACACACACACACACACACACACATATTTATTTATTTTTAAATTGATTTCAGAGAGGAAGGGAGAGGGAGAGATAGAAACATCAATGATGAGAATCATTGATTAACTGCCTCCTGCATGCGCCCTACTGGGATCCAGCCCACAAGTCTGGCATGTGCCCTTACCAGAAATCAAACCATGACCTCCTTGTTCACGGGTCCACACTCAACCACTGAGACACATTGACTGGGCAAAACTACCTTTCCCAGAGCATTTTCTCAATCCATTGAAGTTTTGCTTCCTGGTCATTGTCTTCAGTTTGGCTCAAATAAACTTATGACAATTCTTTTTCTTTCTTTTTTCCTTTCAGCTCATTTATTATTATTTTTAAAAATCTTTATTATCTTCTTTCTCTATGAGATTGGAATAATAGCCCTAACAGGTTTGGCTCAGTGGATAGTGGACTGAAAGGTCCCAGGTTCGATTCCGGTCAGGGGCGCATGTACCTTGGTTGTTGGCACATCCCCAGTAGGGGGTGTGCAGGAGGCAGCTGAT